TAATTCAGCCAGCTCAATACCTGACCACACTCTCGTCAAAGCACAAGTCGCATGTCAAGCGGCTGAATTGCACGCTTTGTTGTGGACCGTGGAACTCCTCTGCACAAAGGCTGATGCGAGGCTGACAAATGGGACCTGGTTAATTGGCCTGCTGCACACTTCCTCCTTTTCTCCAGCCGACGCAAGAAGGCTCCAGTCAAAAAGCATCCTGATTCCGCCCCCAACGGGTGCCATCCACCCACATGGCTCCCCAAAATACATGGATTGCAGATTTGCAGTCAATTTTTGGGTGAATAGCTTATAATTGGCTTACCATAGTTTGCGGATAGCCTTAGGCAGGGGGTGTAGAGAAGGGGTGCTGCTGTACAGTCTTATTTTAGGTTTATATGCAGAGGCAATTGGGCTGGGTTAACATGGTTTAGCCTTTGATGGACAACACAATGTGCTAAGCAGCTAGGGGAAGACCTAATTGAATCTTGGTCAACGCTCTTTTTCAAGTTCTGATTAGTTCTAAATGGAGCATGCCGCAAATAAATCATAACTATGTGTACCTATTGATGTCTAATATAATAATAATATAATAATTACTGCACATTTTTTGGGTAGTTTGAAGTTACCTATAAATCATATTTTAAGACCTAAAATCGAGGAAGTGCAAAAAACAAAATTAAAAAATGTTTTTGAATATTAAAAACTTAAAAGGTAATCATTCTCATTCCAATAAGTGTTAATTCTTAGATTGCCCTTAACCCCGTAAGATGCCAACTAGCCAATCAAATTCCTAGATTTCCCCATGCAATGACAATAAATAAAATTCAACAACAATCGTTGTCGCGTGTTGGATTGTTATCAGAAAAACAGTTTCAGTCGTGGAATGCTCCATGTGTCTGTCTCTTAAGTCACTAATCGTAATGGTTTGAAAACCATTTTTAGCCATGGACGGCTCCAAAGATACCTCTATGCCAGAGAGACATCTAACGAGATACATAATGTTGTTTACAAGAAAGTCTTTCATAACGTAAAACGTTATATGTAATTGATTTTATGGTATTTTTAATGATTTGTGTCATGTGCAACAATCGTTCCATGGTATTATCTGTCCAGTACAATTTGTATGTTCTATTTCTTATCATTGTTTGAATGGATGATCCTTTCAGTATTTCATCACTATTAATATTTAATTAGATATTCAAATATTCAAATTCTTTTACGGCTTATTAGTAATGTCATTTAAATTTTTGTAAGAAAACTCACAAACCGTGCATTGCTAATTCATCATATCTGTGGTCGGAATACACAGTCCTTCGTTAACACGACTAATCCATCAGATTCTTGTGACTTGAAGGTCTTTTCGGATTGGATTGCCAAGATTGGTGACGGTGTTACGGGTGAAAGTAATGATGGTCATGTTCGTATCACTATTCCTGAAGATCTATTGATACGCACAAAGGGAGATCTTATAACTGCAATTGTTGAAAGCATATTTCCGGAATATGTTGAATCTGCAGGTGATATGAGTTGTTTGCGCGATCGTGCCATTTTGGCACCAACACTGGTTGTGGTTGAAGCTGTTAATGACTATATGTCGGCTCTTAATGTTGGTGAAGTTTCAATAACATATCTTAGTTCTGACAGTGTTTCTAAGGTTGATTCTACGATCGATATAATGGCGGACCTGCACACACCTGAGTTCTTGAATAGTATAAAATTATCTTGTGTACCGAATCATGAGTTAATGTTAAAGGTAGGGACCCCAATGATGCTTTTGCAAAATATCGAGTATCCAATGGGGTTGTGTAACGGGACTCGGATTATTCTACGAGGCGCGGTAATCATGTTTTGGAGGGGTAGATTTTTACTGATGTGAGCGCTGGACAAAAAGTATTAATTCCTAAATTGTCCTTGACGCCATCCGATGCCAGCTTGCCTTTCAAATTTCAAAGGACTGTTATGACTTCATCAGCTATGACTATAAATAAATGTCAATGTCAATCTTTGTCCCGTGTTGGGTTGTTGTTGAAAAAACCTGTATTTACCCACGGACAGTTGCATGTTGTAGTATCAAGGGTTACCAATCGTTGTGGTTTGAAAATTCTGATTGTTGATGCAGATGAAGGAACCACTAACAAGAATTAGAATGTTGTATTCAAAGAAGTGTTCAACAATGTTTAGGTTTACATGAAATGTATCTTTACAATGTTATGGTTTATACGTATTTGTTGGATGTTTTTGATCTTTTAAGTAATGTCTTTAACAATAATATTATAAGTGTTTCATTTATTGCTTTGATCTATATCAATATTCCATAGAGATAGATTGTGTCATCAATTGATAGTGTAATTTGAATTAGTGAGCCCAAATAAATTTGAAAGAAAAATTCTCTAACCGTGCATCGCACGTGTGAGTTTACTAGTCCAAATAAAAGATAGCTTGATAGCTACAAGGGAAAGAGGCAAGTTGGAAGGGAAAAAACAAATAATGTCACCTGCTAGGAATGAGCAAAAATCATTCAACCGCAAAAACAATACACGAGCTGTGCTAGGTGTACACATTTTTGAATTGTACACCTAAAATGATGGGGAAACAACCAAAAACACCCAAAATGTCCCCCCCCCCCCCCCCCCCCCCCCGAGCCCTTCAGTCACATCTAAACCAAATCAGGACCCCCATAGAGAGCCATATGCTCTCAGACCCAAGAAATCTGCCCCCCACCAGGTTTCTTTGATTAGTTTCCTTTTTGGAATGTGTGTGGTATTGGGAATGCTCAATCCTCTGATAGAGTTTCCCTTCTCTGTAAAGACAATAAAGTTAATTTCCTTGCTGTTATTGAACCTAAAATTAATGCCTGCAATCTTAACAAAAAAATGATGAACTTTGGTTTTTCTAATTCCTACTCTCTCTCACTTAACAAAATTTGGTTAATGTGGCATGACACTCTTGATGTTACTATTATATCTGATCTTACTCAATGTGTAAACCTTTCTATTACTTTTAATGATCTGGTCACTCCTTTATTCATATCTGTGGTTTATGGTAGCAATTACACGATTCCTAGAAGAATTATGTGGACTGAATTGTCTAATTTCAGAGCCGGTATTGGTCAGACACCTTGGGTCCTGGGAGGGGATTTCAATACAATCTCTAACATCAGAGAGTATAAGGGAAATAACACCCCCAGTAAGCTTGATCTTGATGAGTTTAATGATTTCATTTTTGCCAATAGTTTGTCTGACCTAAATTTTCAAGGTATGGTTTAGTTAAAAAAAAACTTGACAGGGTCATGATTTCTAATGAGTTTCTCCACCTAAATTGGAATATGACTCTTAAGAAAATCAACAGATGCGTCTCTGACCACAATCCTCTCCTTTTACAGGAGAATAAAGTGCCTAATTTAGGCCCTAAGAGTTTCAGATTTCAGCATATGTGGATCCAAAAATAAAACCTTTCTTGACACAGTCAAAGCCTCCTCGGATTCTCCTAGTGATGGGTATGGCATGTGGAAATTTTCAAACAAATTAAAACGTCTGAAAGTTGTGCTAAGAAATTGGAATAAAAATACTTTTGGAAATATTTTTACAAAACAGTCTGAAGCTGAAACTGAAATCACTTTACTTGAGGAAAAACTTTCTGATTCCCTCTCTGATGAAGACCACATTGCTCTTAAGGAAGCTCAGGCTAGATACATTCAATATTCTGCTCACATAAACACTTTCTATAGACAGAAGGCAAAAATCAAATGGCTAAAGGAGGGAGATGCAAATACAAAAATTTTTCATCTCTCCCTTAAAGCCAAACATCAAAAGCTAAGGGCCTGTTTATTAACAGAGATATTTTCATGTTTTCTACTTTTGTTTTTCATTCTCCAATTTTCTGTTTTTATTTTTCAGTTTTTCTATCTCCAATTTTCTGTTTCTATTTTTTAGTTTTCCATTTTCAAATATGAAAACGTGTTCATAAATTTTTTCACCCAGTTCTCCAATTCCACACCCTTGACCCCTACCCTTACCACGATCTTACACTCTAACCATACTTCCCCACAACCCTTCACACCCACCCATACCTACTCGTAGGGGTCGAGATAGGGAAGTTATGGGTGGGGTGGGGTAAGGGGTATGGTCGGGGTGGGGTGGTAAGGTGTGACACCGCACCCGAACGTACCTGGGAATTTCGGTTTTAAAAAAAAATACAATTCGTACAGTGGAATTCCCTATTATCAACTACGTGTAAAACGATTAAGGCTTTATGTAATGAATGATTAAACGTACTATCGTTTAGGCCCATATCATAAGGATGGGTTTCCAAATACTTTATTGGGCCATCTTATTAGATATAAGACCCCAATACAATGTAAAGAAATATTCATAACCCTCCTAGACCAAATAAGGAAGGTCGGGCAACCCAAATGCTATTTTGGGCCCAACCTGCTAAAAATAGTAAGTATTCAATAATGGAGCTCTAGGACCACTCGAGGGTGACCCACACGGCTTGTAGCCCAAGAATATAAATACTAATGTCATAAATAAGTGATAATGACTAGGGAAGAATACAAATGTACATGGTCCCCTCTTTGACATTATTGAGCTAAATAATGGGAGTAGGATTCTTCCTTTTATAATATTCATAATGTAAATTATTGGGATGATCCTACACATATTGGGGATGAATAATATGATGTATGAAGTTGACTTGGCCTACATAAATTACAATGAGTACAAAAGGACATCTCATGACAAAGATAAAACAATATGGTCCATCTTCCCATTTTTGGAAGTATTGGTAGATATTTTGGACCCCAAATTAATTGGGATCACTTGGAGAGCACCCCACATCTTCTTGGCACCTGAAAAATGAAGAGAATAAGTTAGAAATTATGTATGGGGCGGACAAAAGAGGGAGGTGGCTGAGCAAAACATTAATTGGAAATCAAATGGACCCCCTCCCCATCTTTTTGATTCAAAAGGCATCTTACTCCATCATCCCACATCCCAACCCACACTCATTGACTTTTGAGGCCAGGATAGAGGCAAGATAACACCCCCATAACCCTCATTCGGACTCCAAAGGATCTTTGGAGGGAAGAGAGCCACACAACCTAAAAGAGCAAGGAGAAAGCAAACTGCCCACAGGTTTTTCCTCCAGTGCAAGGGTTGCTTGTTTGACCATAACTTGAGCTTCACTCGTCCAAATAAGGCGTATAATATACCAAAAGAAAGCTCTCAAGACGAGGAATCCGTGAAGGTCTGGTTTGCATCAATAGGAGTAGTGGAAGACTTCCAAATCGTCCGAGCAGAACACGACCTCGCAGAAACGGATTTACTCTTCTAAGTGAGTTATAACCCCCAAACCTTTCCTTTCATTTTCCAAATGGTATGAACGATTTGTGGAACTATTATACATTATTCCAAGTGTATAATATGTCCTTATAAGATTATTTTATTGATGTAAAGGTTAGATACTAACCTAGAGAAAACCATGGAAAAACTAGGAAACGAATTCGCCGGAAAAACACCCGTTCTAGGGGCTGTTTTCGTATCGACATTTAGGGGTTGAGCTAGCACTTTGAGGAGGCTGTTTAACACTCATATTTAAGCAAGGAATCAGTTCATAATCTACCTTGACCGGAGCTTTGACCATTGGATCAAGAAGGAAAAGTTTAAAGCTCAATTAAGGTGAGGACCGACATCTAATTGCTTACAACTTGTAGGTTAAGCATGAGATTACCTAAATGCTTAAATCATAATTTTTCATGGATTATGATGCTTAAATATTTATGAACTATTGATATAGTTGACAAGAATGAAATTGGAAATGGTTTGAGATTGTATGAATAACATGAGATTAAATGAGTTATAAATGAACTATTTTGTGAAATAGGCATTTTACTCATGTATGAATTATGTGGATACATAAATGAATATTTATGTATTGAAATTGAGTACTTAAGTTGCTGCTACACACTTATAAATATGTGGAGAATTACAAAATGAGGATATTTGTATGATGACAATAATCTTAATAGTATTGAAATGCTAGTTAGTGATTATTTGAAGTTGTTGATAGAATTGATCCTAAGTATTGGATTGTATGAAATGCACTTGAATATACTTCAAGTGTATAAAATGACTTAGTATGAAGCTAAGGGTAAGTAGCATTTAATCTCTTAACTCCTTGATGAAATCAATTGAGATTGATAACCTCAACACAACGGTTTCGGTTTAACCAACAAAATTAATCCCTCTTAAGTTTATTAACCACGACCGTGCATTAATAAACCGAAGTTACTTACTTGTGAAACCATCAACGATTAACCATCGGTTCGTTGAACGTTTCTAGTAGTAATTAATGTTGAGATGTTAACTAATTGTCATCTTAGCAACACTCCCCAACATTAACATATAGATAGATTAAGGGAAGAATTAATATTCAAGGAAGAAGATTAAATATGAATAATCCTACTATAACTAATGTCAAGATGTTATCTAATTGTCATCTTAGTAACACTCCCCAACATTAATATATAGAGGAAGAAAATAAATACTACTATAACTAATGTCGAGATGTTAACTAATTGTCATCTTAGCAACACTCCCCAACATTAATATATAGATAGATTAAGAGAATAATTAACATTCAAGGGAAGAAGTTAAGAAAATAACTCACAACTTTAATAATCAACAAGCTTCAAGAGCAACACCAAGAAATGGAAGTTTAGCTCCTCATTTGGAGACTAAACATGCTATAAAAATATAAAAGAAATACTATTCTAAACTGAGCTTAAGTATATGGAAGAAGGGATGATTCTTTGTGAAGGAAAATGGGGTTATTTATAGGTGTTTTTCAACACCTTGGGCCGGGTACCCGACCGGGTTAGGTGCTTACCCGACCGGGTCCGGTCAAAATCAGATATCCTCCACGTTCTGGCGATCTTCGGCATGTTCTGGTGTCCCGGGTCAAGTCTGACCCGACCGGGTCAAGTAGGGGACCCGACCGGGTCTGATGATTTTCCAGGCAGTTTCGGATTTTACATCAGACCCGACCGGGTGCATGGTCTGACCCGACCGGGTTTGTGCTCCTGGGCACACTTATCACCTTTTTCTTTACTTCAAAGTCCTCCTTTTCAACACCCTAATTCCTAACTCTACTTTACAACTTACAAATGAAGATTAAAATACAATTACAACTAAAATCACACAAATGTTTACAAACTAAATAAAACGGTAAACAATCCACACAAATCAAACATAAAAACATACACTTATGCACTACTAATTAGTGCATATCATTTGCCCCGTGTGGCATTTGATTGTTTTCGCTGCGTATTTAATTACTTATTATGTATGTTTATGGATGTTATATGTGTGAATGATATTCAAGACGCCTTGTATAATATGAATGTGTTGGACTGCGGTTGACTATTCGTATTGTACGGCGGGTTGTTGACGTGTCCGGGGAGGTCCGGGGCGTGACATAAGGTCTAGGGGTAGGGGGTTGGGTGGGGGTAGTTGGTGGGTTAGGGTCGTGGTTATGGGTAAGGGTGGGGTAGTGGGTTGGGTTTGGGGTAAGGTAGAGGTAGGGTATGGAGTTGGGATAGGATGGTGGTAGGGTGGGGCTAAGGTAGGGAAGGGGTAGGGGGTAGGATGGCGGTAAGGGTGGCGGTAGTGGGTAGGGTTGGGGTAAGGTAGGGGTAGTGGGATAGGATGGCGATAGGGTGGGCCCGGGATATGGGTGGGGTCGAGGTAGGGGAAGGGTAGGGTGTGGGGTAGGATGGTGATCGGATGACGGAAGGGTGCGGGTAGGATGGCGGTGGGGAGGGGCCGAGGTAGGGGCATGTGGTAAGGGGTAATATACGAGTGGGGGTAGGGTAGGGTGGGTCGGGGTGGAGTCAAGGTGGTAGGGGGGTGGCGGTAGGGTGGGCCCAGGATCTGGGTGGGCCGAGGTAAGGGAAGGGTAGGGTGGGGGGTAGGATGGCGGTACAAGGGTGGGGGGTAGGATGGCGGTGGGGAGGGGCCGAGGTAGGGGCATGTGGTAAGGGGTAAGGGGTAATATACGAGTGGGGGTCGAGGTGGTAGGGGTGTCGGTAGGGTGGGCCCGGGATCTGGGTGGGGCCGAGGTAGGGGAAGGGTAGGGTGGGGGTAAGATGGCGGTAGGGTGGGGGTAGGATGGCGGTACGAGGGTGGGGGTAGGATGGCGGTGGGGTGGGGCCGAGGTAGGGGCATGTGGTAAGGGGTAATATCGTAGGGTGGGTCGGGGTGGGGTCGAGGTGGTAGGGGGTGGCAGTAGGGTAGGGTGGATCGGGGTGGGGCCGGGGTGGGGTAAGGTCATTATAGGGAAAAATGGGTATGCGGGGTTGGGTTGGGTGGGTGGGTAAGGTAGGGTAGGGTAGGGTAGGGTATGGGTAAGGGGTAAGGTACGAAGATGGAGGTACCAGAATGGAATCGACATCGGAGCGGGACCGGACCCACCACTAGGTGTAAGTATGCAAATTCATTGCAGCGGCACTGTAGCATCTGCGTTTTCTAAATTTGGAAAACTAGTAAAAGTCACTTCTCCAAATCATTAAGGAAAACAGAAACATGTCTCATTTTTTTCGTTTTGGAAAACGATTTGGCAAACGCGTTTTCCTTTTTTCCTTTCTCCAGTTTTCCAGGAATTTCTTTGGTAAACACGTTTTCTGTTTTCTGTTTTCCAGTTTTCCAGTTTTCTGGAAAATTGGAAAATATCTCTGTTAGTAAACAGGCCCTAAATATTTCCAAAATTAAAAAGGATGATGGCAACTGGATTGAAAATGTTGATGATATTAATAATGCTACTATCTCCTATTTTACTAACTTGCTCACTGCAGATCAGGATACTGAGGTGCTTGACCCAACTAGTTACCTGCAGAATATTAATGCTGTTATTAGTGATACAGACAATGACTTCTTGACGAGTCCAATCACTAAAAAAGAGCTTAAGGATGCTGTTTTTTACCTGGATAAAACCAGTGCTCCTGGAAGTGATGGCTATGACGGGGTGTTCTACCAGAGTGCCTATGATATCATTGAGGCAGATTTGTTTAACGCAGTCAGGGAGTTTTTCTGTGGTGTTTCTATTCCTAAAATTATTGGTCACACCCTAATTGCTCTTATCCACAAAGAGAAAAATGCGTACCAATTTTCAAAATTCAGACCTATTAGCCTAAGTAACTTTCTCAACAAAATTTTCACCAAAATCATAACTGTTCGTATTACCACTCTTCTTCCTAAAATCATCTCTGATGAACAAACTGCCTTTCAAAAAGGTAAAGAGATATCAGATAGCATCTTACTCCTTAGAGAATTGGTAAACCATATCCACACAAAAAACAGGGGACACAATATCATTTTTAAATTTGATATGGTGAAAGCTTTTGACAGAATTTCTTGGTCCTTTATAAAGCATGTTCTTATAAAATTTGGTTTTCATAACAATTTTGTTAACCTTATTCTTAACAACCTCCATGCGACTTGGTGCTCTATTCTTATTAACGGTGTGCCGAAAGGCTTTTTTAAACCCTCCCGGGGGGTGAAGCAGGGGACCCCTTATCCCCTATATTGTTCATTATGGTGGCTGAGGTTCTTACTTGGAATTTGAATAACCTATACTTATCTGGTAAGGGTATTGCTTATAGCACCTTTAAAGGTATGCCATGCATTAGCCACCTATCTTTTGCTGATGATTTGGTTGTCTTTTCTAATGCTAGCAAAAAACGCTATAAATCTTCAAATGACTATCACTGACTATGAACTTTTTTCAGGTCAACTTATCAGTAAGGATAAAAGTTTCTATTTGATCTCCAAATATGCTAAATTTTACAGCTGCAACTTGGTCAACCACATTTTTCACATCAATAAGGGGTCTTTTCCCTTTACTTATTTGGGTGCAAATATTCATGTTGGTCGTACCCTTAATGTTCATTTTGATCACATTTTGGCCAAATTTGATAACAAACTTGCAGGTTGGAAACACAAGCTACTCTCGACTGGGGGTAGAATGATTCTTATTAACCATGTTTTAAATTCCTTACCGCTTTACCATATGGCTGTTTGCCCCATACCTAAATCAATTTTTCACAAAATGGAAAGGAGGCTCACTGATTTTTTGTGGGATAGGAATAATGACCATAAAAAGCATGTTTGGAGACGCTGGTCAAAATGTTGCTTCCCGATTCTGGAAAATGGTTTAGGTTTTAGAAGCCTACCACATATTCAAAAAACCTTCTTCCTAAAACTCCTTTGGAAGCTAGCAAATGGCAAGGGTCTTTGGGCTACATGGGTAAATTTTCTTAATGGTACTGCCAGGTCTGTTATGCATAACTCTCTTGAATCTGTGAGGTCTGTTTTTGATATTAACTGCTGCATTCAAGTGAATAATGGTTGTAGTTCTTTTTGGTTTGATAGTTGGTGCGACTTAGGCCCCCTATACCAGTTCCAAAACCACCTCCTAGATGATTTAAAGCATCTAACTGTTTTTGAAGCTATGCATAATAATAGCCTTATTCCTGCGATCCAAAACTGTCTCCCGAACTACATCATAACCAAAATTACAGACCTTAATATCAGTTTCAATGATACTAAAGATGCCCATATTTGGAAACCTAATTCAAATGGCATTTTCAGTTTTAATAGTGCCTATGATGTTATGCGGCCTAAAATGACTTTGAACTTGAGTGCCAAGTATGTGTGGAACAGCTGTACCCCCCCAAAAAATTCTTTTTTCTTATGGAGACTCAATAACCATTTGCTGCCTTTTGAGGATAAACTCACAACTTTTGGTATCCACCGTCCGTTCAAATGCCCTTTTTGTAATAGCCCGGACACCATTGATCACTGTTTCCTTCACTGTAATTTTGCTATGACTATCTGGCATCATTTTGAAATTTGTTTTGGCTTTCACCCAAACAAAACAGGCACCTTCAGTAATTACATTACTAAATGGTATTTGGATTTCAAAAGCACTATAAATGATTTTAACCACACCCTCCCTAAAATCATCACTTGGCACCTTTGGAAAGCTAGAAACAAACTTCTGTATGATAACAACAAGGCCAACACTCCTAAGGCTATAAAAGCTATTAGAACTGATATTTATGCCATGTCGGTGGCAAAACCTTTCACTACGAATAACCCTAGTGTTCTTTTCAACATTCACTACATCCCTACCAAACATACTGTCAAAAGACATGCTCTCAAAATCTGGACTAAACCCCCAGATAGCTACTTCAAAGTTAACCTAGCCTCCCGAAATATTACCCCCCAATTGATCCGCTCGACTGCCATTGTTCGTAACAGTATTGGTAGTTACATGGGTCATGCCACTCACGTGGTCCACCACGTGAATACTACTGATGCTACTTATGATGCTTTAGACTATATTATTCCCCTCCTAAGAAAATTTAACACTCTTAATTTCATTTTTGAGGTGGAAGATAGTAATGTCTACGAAGGACTTCAGGGGATCTCTATACAACATTGGACATATTGGTCGCAGTTTCGAAACATACGCAGAAAACTTGGAAGCTATAACTGGACCATTACTCACGTCAATCCAACCATTAACAAGGCTGCTGATTTTCTAGCATACTGTTGCATGTCTATTAAAACCAATACTCATCATTTTAATCATTTCGTGGGCATTTTAAAGTTTGATGCTACTAACTTTCCTTATATTACATAGTTTTTATTTGTATCTCTGGGTAGGCTTTGGTTTGGTCCTCCTACTATCTGTATTTCACATTTCCATAATAAATTGGTGGGATGTTCCCTGACCCCCACCCCAGGACCCCCGGGGGTCTTGGAGAATTACCAGGAAAAAAAAAACAATTTAAGTATTTAATGTTTATACCTCGAGTTAAAATAATCGAATGGGTTGCAAGCTTCCACAAATCCACAAGACCACAATGCCTTGTAGGGGTGGCAGCGGGTCGGATTTTTACCGGGTGGAGGCTCATCCACGTCCACCCGTTAATTTTTTATACTCCACCCACCCGTCCATCATCCATTAAAAATTACATCCACATCCAACCCATCCATCTTGAACGGATTATCGGGTGGATCGGGTGAGTAGCGGGTGAAGTATAAATGTTCAAACTTGAGACAAAATAAATAAATTACAAAGAGATATCATGACAATTAAGAACCAAAAATTAAGAATTCATTGTAAAATAACAACAAAAACATGAGCAATTAAGTATATTACAATCATTAATTCACTGCCAATGATAAAGAAAAAAACTGAATGTTAAACAAAATAGACATAAAACTTCTTCAAGTTGTTAAATTCTGCATTTATGCATCGGCACAAAACTATTTTTGCTATTTAACTGCCACTTCTTGAAGCTCTCCAATTATCTTTGTTTCACCAATTAACTATTATTATTATTATTATTATTATATATTATTAAATAGATAGAATATATATTATATATTATATATTATATAATTATATGCGGGTCAGCGGGTGGGTGGATGGAACGGGTGACGGGTCGGGTGATGGGTTGGATGAGCCTTCATCCACACCCGATCCACCCCGTCTTTCGATCCACCCGTCATCCATTTTTCATCCATACTTCTTCGGGTTTTCATCCATATTTTCGGTTCGGGTTGACCGGGTATCCGCGGGTGCGGGTGATATTGCCAGCCCTAATGCCTTGTAAACTTCTTAACTTCGTAAAGCTGGAGCGCTATAATCGGTTTCCACCAAGGCAGAGAGGCAATGAAGTTTAGACTACAAAGGTAGTTGCGAGTGAAGTCAGAGTACAGGCTTCCACCGGAGGTACAAACAGAGTAACAGACTACAGAGGTCAGAGTGTCAGACCTACGATGAAAAGTTGAAAGGGATGGGTTAGAGAGAAGTCGGAGTAGGAGAGAGTGAGAGAATGAGAGAGGGAGTTGCGAGTGAAGAGTGGAGGCGCTGGAGTGTTAGGGTTAGGTTTAGGGTTAAATAACTGAGTCACGGGGTAAAGGGCTACTGCCACTCTGCTGACTGAGTCACCGTGACTTACATCCTCCAATGTGCTCTGTCGCGTCGGGGTTGCTTGGGGTTGGCGATTCAACCTTTTTTGGAACTATGCATTTCATATCTATTTTCTTTATAAACCTACAACTTTCTGGGGAGGTTTCACTTTCCATTCTATAACCGAACCCTAGAAATCCTGCTTAAAAAGTCCTTGGGAAATCAGGGCTGTTGGTCCAGGCGAGGTCTTCAACAAAGTGTCCTTTTTTCTAGCGATATTTCTTTGTTTTTTGGGATCGGGCTTTAATCATGAATGAATCGATGTCCGCTGGTGCTCGTGTGGGAGAAGAGGACGTGGAGTACGAGAGTGATCCGGAGGAGGCGAAGCTGTCGCTGAAGATGCGAAGGAGAGAGGCGAGCGATGATGAAGAGGAGAGCTGTGAAGAAAGCGAGAAACAGATTCCTCCGCGGAGGATTGATTCCGACGGGGAGTCTGACAGACAAGGCGGTTTTGCTGACTTTGAAGAAGAAGAGGAAGATGGAGAAGAAGGTGAGGATGGGTTGGAGTACTTTGAAGAGTACGGGGTGGAGTATGTGGAGGAGGGAAAAGAGTACGTGGATGGAGGTTTGCCAGCAAGTGTAGAAGTTGATGATGAGGCTCAGACAGAGCCTGTGGTAGCACTGGGTGGCCCTGAAGTGATCGGGGAAGGACTGGCTGTAGAGGCTATACATAAGGGATTGGATGGTGAGGATGGTGGTCACCTGCAGGCAAAATTGGTGGAGAAGAAGGAGCATGAACCATATGCTGTGCCAACTGCTGGAGCATTTTATATGCACGATGATAGGTTTGGGGACAATGCACGTGGGAGGCAAAGGTTTGATTTCTTGTTTGATGTCTGTGAGTGTACGTTACTCTCAAATTGTGTTTGTACTTATTGTTTTGTCTAATTGGAGAGTTCTGATTTCTTAGATTTGGAGTTGGTCTGTCCATCTCAGGACTGGTGATGACTACCAATCCTTAAAAATTCCTAACCATTATAACATTTCATTCTCATTGGACTTTAATGAAGGACATTGCAAATTGGTATTGCCCCTTAGGGCATGACATTGAAGTAGATTTTAGTTTGAAATAGAACTTCCAGATTGGAATGACCATTGCTAGTTGGATAGGCCATGTTAAAGATTTCTACTGGTTTTTATTCTGAAAATGGAAAAAATAGGAGTTAGTGACTTTTGACCAGACAAAAATAGGGCCATTTTTGTGGAGGACAAAAGAGACTAAACCTACATTTCTGGAGTGACGATCAATATTCCTTTCTCTCACGCAACTCCAACGGCAGCGGACTGTGCTCCACTTCGGCGAGCTCGGCAACGGCGGCAGTGTCGGCAGACAATGACGGCGGGGACGGGCACTGGGGCGGTGCTCCACATTGGCGAGCTCAGCCGACAACCGTGGACACATGGGCAGTTCAATGCCGAAATTGCTGCTCTGCACCTCTCCTTTGCTGCGGCTATTCATCGAGTGCAGGCGGCGACAGTCAAATACTGGGGTGAGCAGATGGCGGGCTACGGTTTCAGGCCGTTGCTCGATCTGTTACAGACAGCGATCTATGGTGTTGCTGGATCTGTTACAAACGGAGGCCGACAGGTTCAATTTGTTCTTCACCAATTTGGGATCTTGGTCTGTGCTTCGTTTATTTGGGTTTGAATTAATGGTGGGTTGGAGTTTTAGGCCGATGGTAGTGCAGTGGTGCGTTTAAGCTTTGACAAGGTTTGTGGAGTGACTTGGGCGGCGTCTGGAAGGGGTAGTCCAGGGAGGGGGGTTAGGGGATAGGGATGGGCTGGTGGGGCGGGGCAGGGCGGTGCGCATGGTGGGGACTCGTTGGGCCATGTGGGACCGGCGGGGCCGTAATTACCGGGGTGGTGGTGGTAACTGTTAGGGTGGTTGTGGTCAGTGTAGTCAAAAGCGCGCGCCTGAGCACTTAAGAGCACCAGGCGAGGCGCATATGAGGTTCAGCGCCTGTTACAGTCCCAGGCGCAGTCACTTGAGTGAGGCGCAAGCTAGGCGCAATAAGCGCATAGGCTCTGAAGTGCTGAAAAGCGCACGCGTAAGTTGCCTGGCCTGGGAAAGGCTTATTAGCCCGTTTATTTCTTTGATCCTACTTTAAATAACAAGTCCATCCTTGTAATAAGATTTAGCCCATTCAAATAATAGGTCAAAACAACTTAAAAGCATGTTAAACCCTTCTAAGTCACGGTAAAAGCCTTCCATAGTGTGACTTCATCGTTACTCTCCTATTCTCTACTTAAGCAACCGGTTCAGCGCTGAAATAGCATTCAATGATGAACCCACAGAAGCTAGCAAGTCAGCAACCCATAAGGGGTCTTCTTCTTCATCATCTTTCCATTTTGAATACAGCCCCGCCAGTCCCCCTAGAATAGTATGATGTTGAATATGTCATTTTTTATGTTGAACATGATGTTGAATATGTCATTTTTTTAGGGAAGTTGAATATGTCATATTTGATCACTCTAGAATAGTATACATAACATTTTCTAAATAGAAAGCTTGACATGAGTCAGGTGAGCAATTTTTTTGCGCCTTGCACCTCAGGCAATATAAGTACTCTAGGGCCTTGAATGTGCCTCACGACTTTGACTACCTTGGTTGTGGTCACTGTCAGAGCGGTGTTGGTCACTGGGGTCATTGTGGCTGACAGTAGTCACTGGCCGGGTTGGTCACTGGCCGGATTGGTTATTGGTGCATTTGGTCATGGTCACTGGTAGTAGTTTAGTCTCACTTATGATTTTTTTGAAAGTGATCTATTTTTGTTCATAGCATTTATTATAGTGTTCATAGCATTTATTTTAGTGTTTTTTTTGAAAAACCCCCTTTTACTCTTTACTATAGAGGTCCTGCCTCATGTTATGAATTTACCAATAAGTTCGCTTCCTTTTTTGTTACTATTCTAGGTGGGCGTTTGGTGTAAGAAAGTTATGGGAGTGTAAAGATGATTTAAAATGGGGGCATGACAAGTTCGAGGAGCTGACCATGGAGGATAGACGTCATGATGGGGTGAATGCTTTTTTATGCCCATGCCTTTGTTAATTTCTTATGTCATTATGTGTTACATGTATCCTCTGATACATGTTATTTGAAATACCCCACAGGGAAGGAGGAATTCCAGAGGTCATTACAGAGGTCGTGGTAAACAAAGAGGGGCAGATCCGGCATATCCACGTGGAAGGAGGCCTAGAGCATATGGTAATGAAAACAATTATAATAGTGAGAGCAGAGTATATGCTAATAACCAGAAATTTCAGAATACTGCACCAAGAGGAATAAGGGGGCAGTGGCCTAGAAGATATCGCCCAACCTTTAAAGCCAACGAAGATGCACCACCCCAAAGCAAACAGTGAGTAATTACATTTGACTTAGAATCTTTTTATACAATAAACCCAAATAAATAAAATGATTATCAACGCATGCTACCTCTTTCACTTAATACTTACTCCACTTTAATTTATGGAAGTTTATTAGCACTTGCCCATTTTCCCTTTTTAACAACCTTTCTCCATTTTCATTTTTAAAATCTAAAGGACACAGTTATACTCACTCTTTCATCTTCACTTTCTAATTTTCCTACTTAAACCACTTTTTCACTCTTCAATACCCTTGTAACTTTTCATTACCCCTTCTTTCTGGAAAGAAATCTGTTGGAGCAAAAAGTGAATGGGCGGTGTATCTAAAATAAAGTTAATGAGTTTTATCCTATGAACTATGAGGCAATGCCTATATATTATTTTCACCCATATTTTATGTACTTCTAGTTTTTCTTTATGTTTTACTTCCTATTTTGTTTCCATGGTACTTGTGAGGTTCCAAATGGATCCCAAGGGCGAAGGGAGATCATGTATTCAATTTTATCCCTTTGCTCCTTTGAATACAGCCCTGGTATGTCTGCTGAGACACCTTCTCAGGCCCGCTCCCGGAATGAACTTTTACTTGATGCATCAAATGTAGAAGTGGTGGATCCAGAACCAACTTCCAAACAAGGGTTTGTATCAAGCCTGAGTTATGCTTCTCCTCCATTTTATCCCTCAAATGCCAAAGATATGAACACAACACATGCAAGAGACTTGCAATCCGGATCAAACAGTCGGAATGATACTCAATCTTTTCGTGTGAGATCTTCTCCATTTCAATCTAGCTCAATATTGAGAGGGAAGAATGTGACTGAAGCTATTGCTGTCAACAAGATTAGTATTGATGGTGCAGTTCCTTTAGTTGCTGGAAAGCCTTCAACAACAATGCAGTTGGTTGAATGCTCCTCATTTCCCAAGTCCATTCCACCAAGGGTGCAAGGGAGAGCAATAACTACAAACTCCCTGATGAATTTTCAACCAACTGTCCAAAATAGCCAAGTGGACAGGGGCTCACTTTCAAATGATCTCGAATCTATGCAGAAAAAGTATGTTCATAGCAGGGGACAACCTTTTGTGCAAGCTACAGGGAAGCAATACAACCATCATCATGGTGCTGGATCTCAAGCTTCATCCCCACCTAAAAATGACCAACCTGTAAACGTTGTCGAAACCACAGAGATTGATATACCTTCAGATTCCAGCAAGATAAATAATGCTGTAACAAAAGGAAAAGGAAGTATGAACCCCAGTGGAAAAGGGTCGATTGTCTATGCTGGAACTCAGGTTATGGGTGGACCTGGAAACACTGGAAGCACGCATGGTGATCAAAGTTTCTCTGCAACTCCAGCCTTTTTACCTGGTATGTTATTTTTCTTTCAGGCACTACTTGTGACGGAACATATAACTGCACGTGAATATAAGATGCAACCTTGTCTAGATTTGTGTAGAACATTCATTCTTCTTCCTTTGAAGCCTTTTGCTTTGTCAAGTGGTCGGCATAGTTGTCATGGTGTATGGCACAAGGTTCGAAATGGCGTATTGCGTAGTCGTGACCTTTTTTTAAAATAGCATATTGCCACATTGTTCAAGCCTCATTAGGAATGATCTCATCCAGCCGGAGGGACAGGACTCTCCGTTCGGCCATCGCTGTTTCGGGCGGTTCTCGGCGGATTTTTTTTGATGATTTTTTTTGAGCATATTCATCATCAAGTTTAGTTTATCCACAAGCTGAAAATTCGATCGTGAAGTCTATCAAATAATTTGTTGAATATAATTGCGCCAAATTATACATATATAACGCAGGTATTTTCAAAAATTTATTTGGCTGCTTTCCCGATCGAATTTTTGGCTGAACTTTTTTGTGGATAAACTAGACTTGATGAGGAATATGCTCATAAACTTTCATAAAAAAACTCCACTGGCCCCAAACAGCGGCGGCCGGACGGCGCATCCCGTCCATCCGGATGGACATAATCTTTTCTCTCTCTCTCTCTCTCTATATATATATATATATATTCATATAGGGAAATGTTCTATTGAGAACCCCTCCTAAAATGAGAACCCATATATAAATGAGAACTCTTAACCTCCATCTTTGATATATCAAATCAAGGGCTAGAATCAATAAGGTGGCATTTTTGTAATAATTTTATAATAATTACAAAAGTACCCCATTTGAATTTTGAATACTTACACAAAAGACCTCACGTGCATCCTACCAATGATAGAAATCATGGAATAAAATGAAAGGTTGTGATTAAAAGTTCTCATTATAAGAAGTTCTCATTTTACGAGGAGTTCTCACTAGAACCCTCTGCTATATATATACTACTTCCGTCCCATAAACAAGTTCCCATTCACTATTTCAGTGGTCAACTTAAATCAATCTTAATCTTTTACTTTATATATCAAAATGTTATCAAACTTAAATTTCTTGATCAGGCTTTGTATGGGTTTTAATGAGTTTTTGAATATGTAAATTTTATTTACTAAAAATAATTTGAGTTTGAACAGGGATTGAGTTGCTTTTTCGTCAGTCAAACCTTGTAAACAGCAATGGGAACCTGTCTATGGGACGGACGGAGTATTTGTATATATATAACAATTAAAAATAAAATAAATTATTCTTCAAATTTCATATAAAAAACAAATTATAGTGAGCTCATAATCCTATCAAAAGTCATCAGATGCTGGTATATAATACGAAGTATTAACTTTACATAATATTAAAAGAAATTTAACAAAATATATTAATATCAAAGTTGAGGTTAAAGTTCTTTTTGATGAAAAGCTTTCATGGATCTGCCATTAATATTGAGAATGCAAACCTATAGTAGAGGAAGGTGAGAGTTGTATGTATGGGTTATTAGGTAGGCGATTGTTCTTACAAGAATGGGTATATGTAACATTAGGGGGTGTTTGGACCTGATTCTCAAAACTGATTCTGCTCTTTTAGGGAGCAGAAACAGAAGCTGGAGTGTTTGAGTGAAATTCCAGAAGCACTTCTGGTGCTCTAATTTACTCTCAGAATCAGTTGTTTTAGAAGCTTTTGAAATCTGATTCTGATTCTGCTTCTGCTTTAAAAAAGAAGCAGAAGCAGAATCAGTTCCAAACACCCCCTTAGTCTTTTTTCCTTTCTTTTCCCTTTCAGCTTTATTAGAATTGAATAAATAACATTCCTTTCCCCTGATTTTGAGAATACATGTGATAAATAGGTGATTAGATACAAAAAATTTGAAGTTAACATTAATATACAAACTGATGGAAAATATCAATATGCAGAATATTAATATACACTTATGGAAAATATTGATACTACAACAACAACATCCCAAAAGATTTTGGGGTCGGTTAACATGAATCGATCCATTATATCGATGCCAAAAAGAAAAGAAAGACAAAAAGAAAAAGAAAAGAAAAGTAAGGTCAAAAGGATAAGATAAAGATAAATAAATATAAGATAACAATAACATAAGAATATAAGAAAGATAAAAGATAAAAAAAGAAAATGAGAGAGGAAAGATCGAAAAGAGATCAATCGTCCACACGAATGTGCGTCTTCCACTTGCTGTCTCCAAAGCCATACTCTCATCCAACCCAAGAAGGCGCATATCAGTGCTGATTCCTCTAATCCAAGTTTGTTTGGATCTTCCCCTCCATCTCCTCACTAGCTCTTCTCCCCACCCCTCAAGTCGTCTAATAGATGCATCACTCGATCTTCCACGCACATGCCCAAACCACCGCAAACAAGACTCTTGCATCTTATCTTGTATAGCTGCTACTCACACCTTTTGTCTGATTATCTCAATCCTAAAACGTTCTTTTCTGGTATGTCCACACATCCAACGCAACATACGCATCTCTGCCTCACTCATCTTTTGAATGTGACATTGTTTCACCTTCCAACACTCTACGCCATACATTAATGCAGACCTAATTGTTGTTCGATAAAATTTACGTTTCAGTCCAGTTGACATACATTGATCGCATAGAAATCCTGATGCGCTCTTCCATTTCATCCACCCAGCTTTGATTCTATGAGATACATCTCCATCTAATTCACCATCCTTATGAATTATGGAGCCCAAGTAACGGAACATATCACACACCGCTATCTCCTTCCTATCAAGAGTAATCCCACTGTTGCTACTACTTCTACCTCCACCAAACTTGCACTCATATACTCAGTCTTGCTCCGTCTCAGTCTTGCTCTGTCTCAGTCTGAAACCCTTGGTCTCCAATGTTTGTGGCCATTTTTCCAACTTTGCTTTAACACCCGATTGTTTTTTTATCAATCAATACAAAATCGTCGGCAAACATCATGCACCACGGTATATCCTCTTGAATTGATTTCATAAGTTCATCCATGACTATAGCAAATAAGAAAGGACTCAGAGCCAATCCTTGGTGCACTCCCATTGTAATAGGGAACTCTGTTGTCCTCCCTTGTCCTCCCTACACAAGTACGAACACCACTTGTAGTACATGACTCATATATGTCCATCATGATACTGATATACTAACACTAGATGCCTTTTCTAGTTAAGGCCCACCAAAGGACTTCTCGAGGTATCCCATCATATGCATTTTCTAAGTCAATGAACACCAAAGTAGGTCCTTTTTAGTGTCTCTATACTTCTCCACAACTTGGCTAAGAAGGTGAATGACCTCAATTGTTGTCTTGTTGTGCGTTCGACATAAAACCAAACATGAAAGTTGCAGATTTGGAGTTGTGACCGGAGTAATATAAATTATGTACTATAAAAATTAAAAAGTGGGCCCAGTTGGCCCAAAAATACCCTTAACCTCCTATTGCACACTAGGGGTGGCAACGGTCGGATATACATCGGTTGAAGGCTCACCCACTTCCACCCTTCAATTATTTATATTAACCCACCCGTCCATCATCCATTAAAAATTACGTCCACATCCAACCCGTTCACCATGAGCGGGTTATCGGGTGATTAACGGGTGAACATAAATGATCAAACTTCAAAAGAAAAAGTAAACAAATTATAGAGAAAAATCATCACATTTTTTTTACGGGAGAAAAATCATCACAATTAACAATAAAAATTAAAAGTCATTGAATAATAATAAAAACTTAAGTAATCTAGCATGTCACAATCATCAAACTATTAGAATATTGGATCACTGCTTCACTTGTAGCAGAAGAGAAAATGGTAGTAAATCACAAATGATTGTTAAAATAAAGAAACAAGTTAGTGTCAAACACAAAATACATAAAACTTCTTCAAATAACATATTTCGTTTTTGTATGATATATATATATATTAATATATTAATTAATTATTAAATATATTATTATATAGATATTAATTTATATAGGGTATTGATTTTATCTGCATCTGTATTCTATATATATGTGGGTGGATGGATGGAGCGGGTGATGGGTTGGGATGAGTGTTCATCCACACCCGATCCGATCCATCTTTCAATCCACCTATCATCCATTTTTCATCCATACTTTATCGGGTTTTCGTCCACGACTTCGGTTGGGGTTACCGGGTATCCACGGATTCAGGTCGTATAGCTAGCGCTATTGCGCATGCCTCAAGGTGCCCCATTGCGTACTGAAGATTGTTTACGCCTTCATGCCACATTGCTTAAGATACAAAACCCGCACCATAAAAGCCATGCAATTTTGCGCCATACGCCCATACTACAAAAAATGGGTGAGGCGCGCCTCATGGCGCAAATGCGTAATTGCATCGCGCAATTACACACATTGGTATGGTGACAACCATGGCGTGGGGGCAATTTCACGTGGTGACGTCGATGCACTAAAAATAACAAGTATAAGTATGAAGTATAGACATTATAGCTCTATGATTTAATCACCAATAGAAATGTCAAATGACCAAATCCAAATAAAATACTTAATCAAGTAACAGTACAAAAAATAAACCTTACCTACGGTGGGGTAAGGGGGGTTCGGATGTACGCAGTCTTACCCCTGTACTAAAGCACAGAGAGACTGTAAAGTGAGAAAACAAACATAAAACATAAACCATACTTTATAGCACAAACTACTTACATAAAAGTAATATCATAATACATATTACAGTATACATAATATGATAATAAAACTAATATCATCATACATATTACAGTATACAAAATATGATAATACACATACTGTCATAAGCCAGCTTCTAATACTACCTAGATAGTAAGTACATGTGAGTTTGGTGTGAGGTTTAAGAAATTATAGGATAAAGTGGTTGTTTTACAATTCTAACCTCCAAAATGTAAGTAAGAGTAAGATGAGTTCACAAAAAGTAAAGGGTGAAATTATAGATAAATGGATAAAGTGGGAAACTTAAAAGTTATTGGAGTTCAATTTAGGAAAGTGATCATATATTTGGGACATCCCAAAAAGGAAAGTGTATCTTTCAAAGTGGCACGGAGGGAGTATTTAGTAATACAAATTATTAATATTAAAATATACTCTATACTGCATATCATAACATTATGAATTTATGATATTATTCCTGAAGCAAGGTAGAAAGAACTATATGTGTGTGTGTGTGTGTATCATTCATCATTATCATTACCCCAGTGCCGCAAAGGCTCCCACCTACGGAAAGAACTATATATATTGATATAGATAGAGCAATTACACAACAAAAACTGAAAACAAAAATATATTTCTTGCCTGTGCCTTTTCTTTGTGGAGGCACAGCCTCTGGTGGTCACTGGGTCGTCTTGGACTCTTGGCACAGTAAGTCTTAACTAAGGTCTACGGGTCTAAGGGCCTTTTTTATTAATTCATGTGTTAGCCAGTTAGGGATATCATAAGTCTTAACTGACTTGGACATGAGGCCTAATTTTTTTAAATTTCTAAATAATGCCCAATTGTAGCTCAGGAGATGGCGCAGCAATGGCGTCACCACATGTATTCTCGTTGGCAGTTGCCGCAAGGGATTGGGAATGTGGTGAAGACCTCCTAAAATGCCAATGGTGACAAATGGTGATCACCATTTGCGCCGTTGACAACTCTCGTCATTGGGGTTATTGTTTGCGTAATTCATCTTTTATTTGATCATTTGATGCATTTAATCTAATCCATCATTTTTAAGCATTACTTCCCAGTAGAAGGCATGCAATTATTGATTTCAGATATTAAATGTTTTCGGGACTCCGAAGTAAATGCTAAATTATATGTGCAGTCATGCAATTAGGTGGACAGCACCCGGGTGGTATGGGAGTTCCTGCTGTTGGCATGGCATTTCCAGGCTATATGGCCCAGCCACAACTTGGATTAGGGAGTTCGGAGATGACCTGGTAAGATTCAACCTTGAAATGCTTAGAGTGGCCCGTGGCCGTAGACACTCCATAACTGAGAGCTATATTTGTTAGCTTGTCTTACGTTCATTGTTTGCTTAATTAAGTGTTCTATTAGAATTAATTAGTTCCTGAATGTACGTCCGTCCAAGTTGCAAGTTCATTGTCCTATCGTTGGCAATGAGCTCAAAGTTAATGGTATTTATTTAACTTTTCGTATCTCTAATAATTTTGTACCCCCAGTGGTTCTCATTTATGTAGCCTGCTTTCATTACCAGGCTACCTGTTTTAGCTGGTGCAGCTGGAGCATTAGGGGCTCAATATTGCTCCCCTTACATTGCTGTTGATGGTGCCTATCATGGTCGCCCACCTGGGCAGATTTCTTCCCTCACTGCTTCTTTAAGGTATGCGTTTATTATAGCATATTTGTAATCAATAACTAACTTAGCATGCTCTAATGTTGTGCACTGTTGCACAATATTCTATGTCTTGTTTATTTGGGAACATACATGCTATCACAATACTATCATTATTTTAAAATCTTCTGTTAAGGGCGGGGTAGGGAGATGAAAAGAACAATTAAATCAATAAATATGAAGATTTTCTCCGCCCTAGGCAAAAAAAGGTGGCGTCTGTCTTTGTCAAGACTCCAAGGATTAACTCCAAAAATATCGATCACTTTATTAATGAATATCAACATCCATTTATATGAGTTCCTACTTCCAAGAGTCTTGGTGGACTAGTACTAGAGTAATCTTAAACCTATTAACATATTAAGGTACTGCTACTTGGAATATTAACAAAATAGACTACTACTCCCTCCGGTTTTATTTAATCTTCACACTTTGACTTCACACAAAATAAGGAAAGAAATTTGACTTTACTGTAGAGTACACTGTTGAGGCACTGTTTGACACTGTTTGGCACTGTAGAGACACTGTTTGGCACTGTTGAGACACTGTTTGACACTGTTTTGATGTAGATTTCTTTGCCAAAAAAGGAAATAAGGAAGTGTGAAGTTTATTTTAGACCGTCCCAAAAAGGAAAGTGTGAAGTTTATTAAAAACCGGAGGGAGTATTACAGTATTACTACTAAGAAATTACTGCTACAAATAACAACAGGAAACTAATACTTACAAAAAAACTAATAATAATAATAGATACACCTATATCATTACTTCCCTCGCGTACATCAAGCTTACCCTCAAACTTGAAGAGAGTAGTATTGAATGCCAAACTTTTCCATGATCAAATGGCATCTTTAGGAACAAACAAACAAACGCCCACATTTGAAAATGTGAAGATCAACGATTTTGACGTGCAGTCCTACCTAAGAGACCATGACACTTCTTTCACTTTGGTTCTTCAATGCCTTCATTGTTTAAATACCTACAAACTATTAGGTGCAGTGAAGAGAAATGCACCTGTTCAGTAGATTTACAAGCAACTGCTGTGCGGACAGATTTGGCAAAGGATGTAGCATCGACATTTCTGGTAGCGGTGGAGGCAGTGAGGGTGGCTGAGACAGTTCTGGGTGTGGGTGGTTCTGGTTCAAGCGTCAACTTTTTCAGTGACGTCAGTTCTGGTAGTGGCAGCGACAAAGTTCGTAGAGACGTGGGCTGCAACATCAAATTGTTACGGGAGTGTTAGGGAGTTGAAAAGAAGAACAATTAAATCAATAAAGATGAATAACTTCTCCGCCCGTGGCAAGAGAAGGTGGTTTCTGACCTTGTCAAGACTCCAAGGGTCAACCTTAAACCTATTAGGATATTACTACCAGCGTAGTTTTAAAACGTGTGAGGCGCCATGAGGCTTTTTTGTTAAATTTAGCCGAGACGCTAGGTGAAGGCGCACATCTCACCGAACTTAAGCATACATATTTGTTAGTAATACTCATACAACTCGTACATGATACCTTCTTACAAAAATAATGATAAAATCATATAAATACCACAATTCGTTAAACAAGATTTTGAACACGAAAATCAGTCACAAGTGAAACAAAATAAACATTCAATGGTTACTGATTTAATATGTTCAGGAGCCTTAAGCTCACTGATTTACCTAAATTTTATAATTTATATTTTATACTTCCATTTACTAGTTTAATGTGTCCTGGACTTCTCAAAAATTAAATCATATAAGTTAGTTACCTACTTAGTTACATGGTTAATCTTAAGACTTCAGAATGATTACAAATTAAGGCTTGGTTACGATCAGAATGACTATATTAAGGCCAAAGTTGTCACAACGGCAAGGCGAGTCGCGGCGCCAACCAACCGCCATATCGCCAACCGAGGCAACAATTAGGTGACTAGTCGCAAATTATAATACATTATATGTTATATTATGTACATAGTTATATATATAATTATATATAATACTCTATTTAACTATATTTAATTTTTAACTTATTATATATGAATATATGATATATATAATATATTACTACATAATTACATATATATATGTTCATTACTACCTCCGTCCCACTAACATTGGGACATGAGGGGGTGACACGGTTATTAAGAAAGGTTATTAAGAAAAGTGAGTTTATGTGGTTGATATTGAATTGATAAAGTAAGAATATTAGAATAAAGTAAAAATGATTTAGAGCCACACAAACTTTACAATATTTGGTATGAGACAATCTTAGTGAGATTTTCCGAAAAGGAAAAATGAGACAATCTTAGCGGGACGGAGGGAGTAGTATATAAGATTTACTTTGTGTCCTACTTGGCCACAGGGCCGGTTTGAGAGTCGAGGAGGCCCTAGGCAAAAAACACTTAATAGTTAATATTGACATATCATATTACGTAGTAATATGTTACTGTACCAATACTTAAAAAAAGCACATAATACGATAAACAAAGAGTATTTAAAATGCGTCGTATTATTTGTGAAAAAAAAACTAAACTAATTTAGTAGCAAGTTTTCTTTAAATATTATTGACACATAATTTCTAAAAAGTATTGCTAAAGTTACTATGAATATATTTGCATAGTTATTATAATGTAAAATTGAATATTATTATGGTTTACTTTTGCCGTCACTAAAGTACAATAGTCATTGTTTTTACTACCTTAATTTTACCATATACTATTTTCGACCATTAATTAAGTTCACAGTTGAATTTTCACGGTCTCCAACATCAACGTCAGACTATTGATATATAAATATATATACTTATAAAACTTATAATAAACTAACATTTCAATATAATATATATTAAGATGAAGTATTCGAAATTATTTTGGTATTATAAAATAATACCATTTTTAGATAGTTAACTGCCCGTTAACAATTATGGGACAAAGTATTCGTCATAATTTATAAGTACTACAATCATACTCTCGTACTACTTTATGCGGACTACATTATTTCAGCAATTCTACAAAACATAATACTCAATTTAAATATCATTGGGCCTACATAAATGAGTATACCTGTAATACCAATAATCAATTTATCATATACTAGTAACTTTTTCCCTAACTTCTTTTAGTCAAGTAATTTTACTTCACCTTTGATTTACCTCAAGTCAATTAGAAGTTTAGAACCATAGTACCGCACTACGGTCTACGTACCTTGTTTGTGTAAACTATAAGCCGGCATGTGAAGTTAAAAATAATGCAGAGTACTTGTATTTTATATTACTACAACACATTTTTTTGAGGCCCTCATGGAATATGAGGCCCAAGGCCACTGCCTGGGGTAACTCCCCTCATGGCTGGCTCTGCTTGGCCACTCCCCACTCCCAAAAAAGCATGCACTTGTCCACTTGCAGTATTAGGATGTTTTTACTTGGACTGTTTCAGTCCCAGACCAGACCATATCAGACTTAAATAGACCAGTTCAGACCAGACCAGACTTTCATAGTTATAAAATACACAGAGACTAGACATTTACCAGACCAGACTTAAACAGACCAAACCAGTACATTTCAGTCCAAGTAAAAACATTCTTAGATAAGGTAGTAAGGTAGACATATTGCTAGAAGAAAAAGTACGCTAATACAATTCTCAAATTAAAAATAAAATAAAGCACCTGGTTATAAAGTACGCTATACCACTTTTGGTTCTTCCAACCACTTATTTGGCTTTCTGTACAATTTCTGGTTGATTTTCGTTAGACAAGACCATAAAGGACTAAAAGTGGCAAACAATCCGTAGTTATGCCCCAATATTGAATTACTGAAGTTGGGGACTGATAGTGCTAATGGCCTAATATTTGTTGGAGCAGAAGTGGTAAATATATTTTTTCCATACATCAACATAGATGAGAAGGTTTTTATGTGCAACGGTGCATGTGGAGCTTAATAATTAAACTTTTCTACAGTATGGAGAACAATAACACCAAAAACACCAATGAAGGTATGCCCTCACAAAAGCCTGGTAAGATATACTTCTTACTTTTCATCTTCAAATTTGTAGTCGACAATATGCTTTTTTGCTTTTAACTTGGATCTAATTATCAATCCCTTCATGTGATCTTTAATCCCTTCTCTCACTTCCAGAATTAGGAAGTGATGACATTGGGCAACGGCAGAAAAATCCTCGCAGGTAAAACTAAACCTAATTTAATTTGTGTGTAAAACTCCATACCAAAATATTAGTCCTATTTCATAAATTAAAGTTAAATTTCCATGTAATCTGCCAAAAAAGATTCGAACAGTTTTTTCATTATAACTTTTGGCAAATAAAAAGTTCCCTAAAAATTAAGCATGATTCCTTGACTTTTAAGAGTTGTAATTTTCTCATGATTCTAAACGTCTACCTTGACTCAACATGACTGTAAGTGTTTTTTTTGGGACAGAGGAGTATTAACCTCTAGAAGTAGTAGTGTGATACATTTATAATTATATACTTCATCCTGTTGCACTTTCTATGTACTTCGAGCTTGAAGGAGATTTTGATATGTTTCGTACAGATATACAGAGATGAAATTTGACCAATGAAGTAGCTGTGTACGTTGATTGTTGAGCTTGTCTGAATATGCCGGTAAATATCAAATTATCCAATTAAAACCATCCATCTTTAGTTGGTGTGGCCTTTTCCCAGGTCTTTCTCCATTTGTAGATCTGGAGAACCTGGGGCTCTCATGTATTCTGCCATACTTCGGTAGTCACTTTCCTGTGGGACTGGCTATTACTTTATTTTGCCTATTGATCACTTCTTAATTCAGCGTATATTTTAAAATTTGGCACGACAGATGATTTATTTTCCCATTACCTAGCAGTAGTCAATAAATGTGTCTTCAGATGGATAGGTACTTCTGCATCGGTGAGAATTCAATATTTCGGTCAATAAATGCTTAATAACATAAAGTATTTGGAAAATATATTCAAGGGTTGTTTCACACTGTTCTAAAACATGCAAAATCCCAAGTGCTAAGTTTCCCTGCGACCTTTACGCTTTTTCATCTCCTTCATTGAATTGACCTTTCCCAACCCTTCTGCCTTTCCGCCCCCCTATCCTCTAATCTGAGATTATTCAGAGCCCACCAAGCCCACCACCACATATTTGAGTTCAGCTCTTTACTTTCAAGATAAAACTCAACTCATTTAAAGTTCGATCTCACGAACATGGAGTTATATAGCCGAGCTGGTTCAGCTTATAAATGAGTCAAGTATGGACCAGAGCTGGGGCTCGATTCTTTTCCACAAATAAACGGGTCGAGGTTGAGCCTTACTTGTTTCTTTCAGCTGCACCTATTAGGGGGGGGGATTCGTTTTGAAATGCCAAAGTTTATAACTGAACTGAACAATCGGTTTATGAACTTTTGTAAACCAAAACAGAACCAATGTAATTCGGCTACCACATTTTCTATAACCGAGTTTTCTGCTTGGTATTATCAATAACCGATATTTTGTCAAGGCATAAGGTGTGAGAGCCTTTGGTGCAATGGTGCCTAGTGCCTTGCTGAAATTAGAGAAAGTGGAGACTTATTTATTAGGAGATGGATGGGGTGAGTCTTCTTGCTCATTCAGTGTGGGAAATAATGAGCTAAGGAATGAAAACGTGAAGGAAAAAATACACAAGAGAGCCAAGGAACTAAAACATGAAGGAAAAATACGCTAGGGTAGGATATTCGAACCTGGGTCGTGCATCTTGCTCAGTGTAGCCTCAATTTGGCTATAACACCTTATGTTTACATTAGGAACTTGCATTATAGTTACAACAATATAATAGAACATTATTAAACTCTATAAGTTAATTCTGAATATTATTATAATTATTATAATTGTCATTATAACTGTTGATGCCATTATTATTATATATCTATTTTTATTATTAAAATATTAACTATTAATTTTATTATAATTTTAACTACTATAATTATAACTATAACTATTACTATTACTTTTATTTTTATTGTTGTTGTTGTTAACTACTATAATTATAACTATAACTATTACTATTACTTTTATTTTGCTATCACTTTTAAATGGTGTTAAATGATTAAATTTGTAATTAAAAAGTGACTCCATGTTGTTTTGTATATATTCGGAGAACTTGTATTCTTAAAGTTATTTTAAAATTACACATTACTATTAGCTTATGGGAGATAGTTCGTATTTTCTGAAGTTATTATTATTATTATTGGCGGCGTCGTCCTCCTCATCATCATTACTACTACTACTACTACACACTTCTACCATTTATATCATTTAATTACTTTTCCAATTCTAGTTTTTTGTAGCTGGAATGAACATGAAATGAAACTCTACTAAGTGGATGTGTTACAGATTGCTCTAAAAGGCTACAATGGTGATTTGTAAAATATGATAATGCAAAATGTTATAGCTTTGTTCTTCAATATTATTAAACTATTTATTTATGGTTGATTATTGTTGCTATTATTGTATTGTAGGTTTTAGGAATGAAACTTCCTTGAATATCATTCAGCCATTCGGTAGTGGTATTTATACAGAGTACAGATAACAACAATTCTGTTCAGATCCTAAATAATAGGATCTAACTATCTACGAGCTTATCTAATAATTAAAGCAGTCTATCAACTCTAAATTCTTATCTATTCACTACATATGTACATAAAATAAAAGTTACAATTATATGTTACATTTTTCTACACTCCCCCTCAAGTTGGTAAGTATATATCATACATTCCCAACTTGCTTATAAGTAGTTCAAACACTGGTTTGAACAATCCCTTTGTGAATATATCAGCTGTTTGCTCTTTTGTAGATATGAATGGAGTACACACAATCCCAGCCTCAATCTTTTCTTTGATAAAGTGTCTGCCAACTTCAATATGTTTGGTACGATCATGTATTATGAGCAATATTAATGGCTGCCTTATTATCACAATATAACCTCATAGGTAAATCCATCTTCATTCTCAGTTATGAAATTACCCTCTTGATCCATAGTAGTTCACAGATTCCATTAGCCATAGATCTGAATTCAGATTTTGCACTACTCCTAGCAACCACATTCTGCTTCTTACTTCTCCAAGTCACCAGATTTCCCCAGAAGTAGATCTTCTATCAGTAATTGAACCAGCATAGTCAGCATCTGTAAAAGCCTCAACAATTCTACTGTTGTTCTTTCTAAAGTATAATCCTTTCCCAGGACAACTTTTCAAATACCTTAGAATTCTGTAAGTTCCATCAAGATGTTCCTGGAATGGATTGTGCATAAACTGGCTAACCATACTAACTGCAAAAGCAATGTCCGGCCTTGTATGAGCCAAATAAATCAATCTTCCCACCAATCTTTGATATTGTTGAACATTAACTGGAACTCCCTCTTTGACATCTCCCAGCTTTTGATTAGGATCAATTGGGGTATCTATTGGTCTGCATGCACTCATACTTTCTCTGTGATACCACAATTCCTTTTTTTGATCTAGCTATCTCCATGCCAAGAAAGTACCTCAGTTCTCCCAGATCTTTGATTTCAAATTTCTGGGCTAGTTTCTCCTTCAGACTTGCAGTTTCTTTATAATAATCACCTGTAAGAATGATATCATCAACATACACAATTAATACTGCAATCTCCCCCTTACTTGAAAATTTCATAAAAAGAGTATGATCAGCTTGAGCTTGCTGAAATCCCTGTCTCTTTATGAACTGGGTGAACCTCTCAAACCAAGCTCTTGGGGACTGTTTAAGCCCATACAAGGCTTTCTCCAATCTGCACACCTATGATCCATATTTGCCCTCGAAACCAGGAGGAGGACTCATGTATACTTCCTCTTCAAGCTTACCATTTAAGAAGGCATTCTTCACATCTAACTGCTGAAGTGGCCAGTCTAGAATACCAGCTAAATATAAGAGAATTCTTATAGTATTTAATTTTGCAACTGGGGCAAAGGTTTCAGTATAGTCTATGCCACAGGTTTGTGTATATCCTTTGGCAACTAACCTGGCCTTATACCTTTCAAGGTGTTCCATCTGCCTTGAATTTAGGAGTAAAAATTCATTTACAACCTACAGTAGGTTTGTTCTTGGGTAACTCTACAATCTGCCATGTCTGATTCCTTTCAAGAGCATTCATACCTTCCAAAACTACTTTCTTCCACTCAGGTTTAGATAGAGCTTCCAGTATGGTTAAGGGAATTGCAATAGAAGAAAGACTAGTGGTAAAGGCTGCAAATGATAAGGATAACTGGGAATAAGACACATAGTTTGAGATAGGATATCTGACACATGACCTTTTCTCTTTTCTGAGAGCAATTGGTAAATTTAGATCACTAAAATTATTACCTTTCTCATTTGCTGGCATCGGATCAGATTCATGAACAGTTGCAGGATCAGAGATGTCCTATTCTGTGATTTGGAACTCTCCTTTCATAAACCTTGCCAAAAAATCTGCTTGTCTGCTGTTCATCTTCTTTCCTTGTTTCAGTTATATTTATTTCATTTTCTTCTAGTTATTGACTATTTTCTGATGTATCTAAGTTTCTATTATGATATGCATCTAGATTAATGTCAAGAAACTCAAGATTTTCATGAATATGTTGTACACTGTTCCCATCTTCACTAGAATTCTCCCCCTGAAGATGAGTGTTAAAAAAGGTTGATTTTCAACAAAACTAGTGTTCATAGTAACAAACATCTTTTTTTTTTGTAGGATCAAAACATTTATAACCTTTTTGAGTTGAAGTCAGTCCTAGAAAAACACATTTTGTATCCCTGGGGTCTAATTTGCTTGCTTTCTGTCAGGATTAAACACTGTGCAGCCAAATATTTTTAAGGGAAGAGAGCTGATAAGTCTAGTTGTAGGAAAACATTTTTGAAGTGTATCAATAGGGGTTTTAAACCCTAAAGTTTTTGATGGCATCCTATTAATTAAATAGGTAGCATGTAAAACAGCATCTCCCCATAAATATTTTGGAACTCTAGTTGAAAACATAAGTGCACCAGTGACCTCAAGTAAATGCCTATTCTTCCTCTTAGCTATGCCATTCTGAGCAGGTGTATTAGTGCAAGAACTTTGGTGTACAATCCCTTTTTCAGCAAAAAAAAAATTGTTCAAATTTTGAGAAAAATACTCACAGCCATTGTCACTTCTTACCATTTTAATATTGGTATTGAATTGAGTCTGAACCATCTAGTAAAATTTTTTAAACACATCTTCAACTTCAGATTTTTCTTTAATCAAGAAAACCCATGTTACCTGTGTGTGATCATCTATAATGGTTACAAATCATCTTTTTCCTTTCAAAGTAGAAACTCTAGATGCACCCCAAATATCACTATGCACAAGAGTAAAAGGACTAGTTGGTTTGTAACAATGGGGAATATAAGAATTCTTATGATGTTTAGCAAGTGCACACATATCACAATGAAATGATGACGGATCTTTATTATGAAATAACCGAGGAAACAATCTTTTTAAATAATAAAAACTAGGATGACCTAATCTGTAGTGCATCAAATACACTTCATTATTACAAGGAAAAGAAATAGTTTGCAGACAAGCCTTTCCTTGGCCTTGTTTATTTAATTCAGTCCCTTCATAAAAAACATAGAGTCCATCTTCCTCTCTAGCACTGCCAATCATCCTCCCTGATGTCAGATCCTGAAAAATGCAATAAGAGGGATAAAATCTGACACAACACTGAAGGTCTCTGGTTAACTTGCTAATAGAAATAAGATTACAGGAAAGTTTTGGAACATGTAAGACTTTAGAAAGGTGAATGGATGAGGAAATATTGACATTTCCCATCCCTGCAATGGCTGAAAAAAGAGCCCTCTGCAACTTTGACTTTTTTATCCCCTGCACAAGGTGTATATGAAGAATAGAGATTTGGAATGAAAGTCATGTGATCAGTTGCACCTGAGTCAATGACGGTGGTTTTTGTTTTTTCAGAACAGAAATATGAAGTAATTTTACCATTTTGGGCAAAAGAACAAGAGGGGGTTTCTTGGTTGGGTATTTTTTGAGTAGCAAGAAACTGGAGTAGGTGCTCTATCCTTTCCTTTGTGAAAGGAAACTGTTTGAAATTGACTTCCTGCTCTTGTTGAGTTTCAGTCACAGTAGTATTGAGAGCTTTTTCAAATTTCTTTTTCCCTGGTGGCTTCCTATGGATCTTCCAACAAGTCTCCCTTGTGTGCCAAAGCTTCTTGCAATGATCACACCATGGCTTTTTTCTCTCTTCTCCCTTGACCACCAATGCTGAGGAGTCTCCAGTATCATTCTGAGTATCATTCTGAGGTCCTGGAGTGTTATTCATTATCCTTTTTCTGCTCTCTTCAATTCTGATTTCAGAGAACACCTCTCTGATTGAAGACAAAGGCTTCTTTCCCAGAATCCTTCCCTTCACTTCATCAAAACTTTGATTAACTCCTCCCAGGAACAAACATATAAACCCTGTCATTTTCTTCTCTCTTTTTGTGTTTGGCCAAATCTTTCGCACTTTCCCATTCATCATCATTGTATTGGTCCAACTCCTGCCATAGAGACACCATTTCATTGAAGTAGGTAGTGACATCTCTATCTCCTTGTTTGGACGGCCAAAGAATGGTTTTTATCTCAAAATTTTGAAAAGAATTTTCAAGATCTGAGTAAGTTTCCTTTAGGGAATCCCAGACCTCTTTTGCTGTCTTCATAAACATATGAGGTTTGGCAATTGAGGCCTCCATGGAGCTGAGAAGCCAGGCTGTTATAAGTGAGTTCTCTAACCTCCATGTGTTATAGCCTTCCTCACCAGAAAGTTTTGGTTTGACTTCTCCCGTTAGGTACCCCAGCTTTCCCCTCCCATCAATTGCAAGCTTGACAGATTGAGACCACTCCAAATAGTTTTTTCCATTCAATCTATGACTGATGATTATTATAGATGAATGAATAGGAGATTGGTAATTTGTCATAGAGCTAATTTGGGAGTTAGGGTTTGTAATATGGGATGAATCAGAATCTGTGGTTTCTACCATTGTGATGTGTAAACCGAGGCTCTGATACCATGTAGGTTTTAGGAATGAAACTTCCTTGAATATTATTCAGCCATTCGGCAGTGGTATTTATACAGAGTACAAATAACAACAATTATGTTCAGATCCTAAATAATAGGATCTAACTATCTACGAGCTTATCTAATAATTAAAGCAGTCTATCAACTCTAAATTCTTATCTATCCACTACATACGTTCATAAAATAAAAGTTACAATTATATGTTACATTTTTCTACATATATTGTTTGTTATTACTGCTACTGCTATCATATTATTATTTTTAAATAATTATTACTAATATTGTTATTGATATCTTGTCGATACTTTCTTTTATCGTGTAAGTACATATTAATCCATCCATGATTTCGGAGCCAAAAAGAGATGAAAGATAAGAAGAATAAAAAGATAAAGTAAAATAAAATATAAAAGATAAAGATAAATACTACCTCCGGTTTTTTTAATCTTCACAGTTTGACTTCACACAAAATAAGGAAAGAAATTTGACTTTACTGTAGAGTACACTGTTGAGGCACTGTTTGACACTGTTTGGCACTGTAGAGACACTGTTTGGCACTGTTGAGACACTGTTTGGCACTGTTTTGATGTAGATTTCTTTGCCAAAAAAGGAAATAAGGAAGTGTGAAGATTATTTTAGACCGTCCAAAAAAGGAAAGTGTGAAGTTTATTAAAAACCGGAGGGAGTATAAAATAAGAATAACATGAGGACATTAGAAAGATAAAATATAAAAAGACAAAATAACATAAGAAAGATAAAAGGTAAAATTAACATAAGAACATACAAAGACACATAAGATAAAAGAGAAAGAGAGAAAAAAAACAGATCAATCATCCACACGAATATGCACTCTCCACTTTGCTCTTTCCAAAACCATTCTCTCATCCAATCCAAGAAGAAGCATATTCGTTCCGATTCCTCTAATCCAAGTCTATTTCACTGTTTGGGTCTCTCTCTCTCTCTCTCTCTCTCTCTCTCTCCTCCACTCCACTTCTCTAGTCATCTAACAAGTGATTCACTCGGTCTTTTGCGCTCATGACCAAACCACCGCAATCGAGACTCCTGCATCTTATCTTCTATAAGTGTTACTCACCTTTTGTCTAATTATCTCATTCCTCAAGTGGTCATTTCCGACATGCCCTCACATCCAACGCAACATGCACATCTTAAACAGACTGTTTTTAGTCCTAGACTAGACTTAAACAGACCATACCAGACTTAAACAGACCAGACTTACGTGGTTATAAAATACGCAGAGACCAGACATTTATCAGATCAGACCAGACTTAAACAGACCAAACCATGCCATCAAATTACAGTCCTAGTCCAAGTAAAAACATCCTAAGTAGTCAATTTGGGTACTATTAGCTCCACTTCTATAGGTCACAAGGTGGGAGTCTCTTTTCTTGAACCAAGTGTTTATTACAGCCAACCTATATGTCGAGGCAAAATCCAGAACGTTTTCCACCTCTTCATTTCTGTGCCAAAACCATGTCCGTCATGGATAGTCTCAAAATCATCACGACGTGGCCCCACATGTCCGTTGAGGTCACCTCCTATCATTAGTTTCTCTTATCATTAGTTTCTCTCCCCTTGGCACTTGTCGCAACCCTTCCTCAAGATCTTCCCAAAATTGTTGAGTGATAGATGCATCCAATCCCAATTGTGGTGCATAAGCACTTACCACGGACATGATCTCATTTCCTATTACCAATTTAATGCTCATGATGTGGTCATTCTTCCTAAAGACTTCCACCACACTCAACATAATTACGTGCCACAATAATGCCTACTCCATTCCTGATCTTGTCTCTCTCCCGAATACCAAAACTTAAAACTTCCGAGATTAATCTCACATGCCTTTTCATAACTTCGACTACCTCACATGTTTGGGCATGTGTTTAGAAGACCGAGTGATGCTCCTGTTAGACGAGGGGTGGGGATAAGAGACAGAGAGGAGAGGGAGGGGAAGACCCAAACAGACTTGAATTAGAGGAATCAGACTGATATGTGTCTTTTTGGGTTGGTTGAGAGTCTGACTTTGGAGAGAGCAAAGTGGAGGGCGCACATTCATGTGGATGATTGATCTCTTTTCTATCTTTACTCTCTCCATTTCTTTTATCGTTTATCCTTTATCTTTAATGCTTGGATGTTGTTGTTGTTGTAGAGCCAACTTTCCACGTCTCAAAACGCAATCCAGCACCCTATCTTCGCATCTTCACACCACATCAATCTCCACCATGCCCTTGCATATTTGACACCATCCCTGGGCATTGAGGTGACGCGTCGCTTCCGGGCGATGACCTAGCAGCCTTAGCATTTTTATCACCACACCGAGGCCTATGAAGTGTAGTGCGCCCTTACATATTTGGCACCACTTCAGGCGAAGGGATGAAGCGTCGCTTACGGGTGATGAGTGATGACTCAACTGTAGTGATATCATATTTCAATTCATATCAAGTGATGTGGCTTAGTGATATTGATGGCCGTCACACCACAACACCCCCTCTATTCTGACTTGAAAGAGCTATAAATAATTAAAATATTTTTTCCCATCAAATTTAGGTTTGGTTCAAACCGATGTTTAAGCCTCTAAGAGCTGTTATTAAACCGATTATAATTCGGGTTATAATTCGGGTATCGACTTTCAGTTCGATGCATTTTTGCGGTGAGTTTTAGTTTTTTCAGTTTAAAATGTCAACCCTAGCACCTCCCTCGCTGATCGTGTCTGCGCCCCACTTCCTAGTTGCTGTATACCTATTTTTTTCAGTGTTGACTTTGGGTTTAATGATTGTATTTTGCCAGGTTTACATGACAAAATACCTCATACTGCTACTCACTTGAAGAGATTGACTGCAGCTTGATGGATGGCAGTTCTCTACTGAATATGTTGGTATGTATTATTGACATGCCGATTATGGTCTTGAATATGTTGATAGACACAGTTCATTAGTTTCTCATTATTTGAATAAGTTGATATGTAATATTGATGATGACCTTGCTGTTTATACATCTTTGGTGAAACACAGTACATAAATGTACCATTTTCCCAGGTTTTTTGGCTTGCTATTCTTTGAATGAAGCTCTGAGAATTGTTATTTCTTTACTTCTCCGAGAAGATGATGGTATGAAGTGGCGAAGAACAAGGTGTACTGTGTTTGCTGAAGTTTCTTATGTTAATGCTGATTTCATGTTTCTTCTGCTTTTTCCCAGTATATGGTTCTGCTCACAAATTGCGTTGAAATGGTTCAAGTCAATGTTTACCTTATGAGAATTGCCTTTGTTTTGTACTTGAAGGAAATATTTCTTTAGTCTGCTTTGTAATGTGATATTTTGGGCATAATAAAATGACAATGCTCCTACTATATACGTAGTATATACTGCTGGTTAAGTACTGTCATTAGCTGTTTTCAATAATAAAAGAGCCAGTTACAGCCCAGTTTGCATCATACTTCTATTGCTATTTGAAACGTCACATATTCGTGACGGTTGTATTTAGGTGTAGACTCCTTTACCTGTCCGGAATGCTTAATTGACCCTTTGAATTCAAGAAAGCTTCAATTGATAAAAACATTCAAATTTCAATATTGATCATTGTCTCGTCTTTAGGTAAACGGTCAAATAAGTTTCTGAATTAATGAACACGAGTGGATACTTCAATTTACCACCTCAATAACCTCAATTCTTAAGTGTCAAAATATCAAAAAATATTAAGAAACTAAAAAAAAAATTAAATAAAATACGTAGTACTAGTCATGGACTCGGGCCACGACCCGGAACCGGCCCGGGACTGATACTGTGCTGAACCGGCCTAGTGGCCCAGCCAGTGACTAGTCCGGGTAGGTCCGGCCCGGGGGGTTTCGGTGCGGGCTCGGGTCACCAAAAGCTGAATCGGCTTGGCCGGTTCGGGCCCGGTTCCGGGTTTTTTTATTTATTGTTTTTCATTTTTTTTTATCTTTTTGGGTTGGGCTGTGTATTTTGGGCCATTTGGGGGGGTTTGGGGGGTTAACTAAGAAAAGGAAAAAAAATTGACCCAAGGCTCGGCCCGGACCAGGCCCGGACCCGGTGGCTACCCGGGCTGGTCCCGGCCTCCCGGGCCTCCTACAAAAAAACCAAGACCTGACGGGGCCCGGCCCGGCCCGGGTCCATGACTACGTAGTACATGTTTAAGATAAATATACATATGAAATATTTATATTTTGTGGTAAATGAAAAATAAAATATAAAATGTTAACTAGAAGAAATTGTTTAACATTTTTTCTTGTATTTTATAACTTTTATACATGTGTTTGAATTATTTCACTTTTACTACCTCCGTCCCCCTAAGTTTGGGACAAGAGAAAGTGGCGCGGTTATTAATAAAAGTGAGTTTATATGATTGATATTGAATTGATAAAGTAAGAATAAAGTAGGAATGATTTAGAACCACACAATCTTAGTGGGACGGACTGAAATGATAAAATGGGACTTCCAAAAGAAACACTCCCTCCGTCCCATCCCATATGCACTCGTTGTAGGACTTCCAAACATGCCACATTATTATCCCAGGCATTGCCTGGCGTAGTTTATCTCTGTGTGTTTTAGATTCCCTCCCCATCCACCAGATATAAAGAGTCTGCCTTAAGTCTTCGTGAGTTGTCATCCTGACCTGCAAAATACAAGAAAAAAATCTCCAAATGGGTCTGATTAGTGGGCAAGAGAAGAGTGAGTGGTTTTGGGTGTCTTGACTGTGGAGACAGAAAGGGCACCTCGTGACTAGATGTAGGTTGAACCTAGTTAGGTTATCAGGGAAGGGAAGACAGTTTGTGAGGTATTTCCAGACAAATAGTTTGATTTTGAGTTGAATTGTGGTGTTCCAGTTTTGGGTGAGTGTGAACGTGGAAGGGTAGTGCGTCCTGTTGTGATGGAAGGCACTGCTAAGAGAGAAGTGCCCATTTTTTTCAAGAGTCCAGGTGGGTGTAACAGGGTTGGTTAGAATGATCCCTTGGTTTTGGTGGTCGGTTTTGCAGATCTGCTTCCAACAGGGTGAGTCTGTAGGTCTGCTCTTTGTAGTTCCACCAAATTTTCAATTGAAATGCTTCTTGAATATCTGATAAAGATCTGACGCCTAACCCCCCCTCATTTCCTTGCTTGCAAATGTGTTTCCAGGTTTTCCAATGGTGTTTGTTTTTCTTTCCTGTATTGCCCCAAAAGAAGTTACTCATTAGTCTATGAAGACTATGTATAATTTTCTTGGGGAATTTGGTAGTTGCTAGGTGATGAATGGGGATAGATGTGAGCACATGTTTTATCAGAATGAGCCTGCCTGACTGATTAAGTTGTTTATTTTTCCAGCTCTGGAGTTTGGTTTCAAAAGATTTGACAATGCTTTGGCAGTGGGCTGCTCTAGTAATCCCTTAGTGAAGGACAACTCCTAAATAGGTAGTTGGTAAGTTGGATATCCTCATCCCTGTTTGCCTTTCCAGCCCTCGTTTCCTTGCAATGTTCATGTTTCTACTGACCAGCACTGTACTTTTATTGTAGTTGACAACCTGTCCAGTGGCATCAGCAAAAAGAACAAGGAATTTGAAGAGTTGTCTGATTGATGGGGCTGAGCCATTCAGAAATAGAAGGATGTCGTCTGCGTAGCCAAGTTGCGTAACAGGGCTTGGATTATTCCCAATAGTGTAGGGTTTAATTCTGTGTTTATCGAATAAGCTTTGTAATCCCCTTGTAAAACACTCAGTAATGATCAAGAACAGATAAGGGGATAGGGGATCTCCCTGTTTGACCCCCCTCTGTGGCTTGAAAAAACCATAGGGAGAGCCGTTGACCAGAATAGATATGTGGGTTGCGGCCAGATTAGACATGATAAGGTGGATGAACTGCCTATGGAATCCTAATCTGTTCAGTGCAGCCTCTAAGAAAACCCATGAGACCCTGTCAAAAGCTTGGGCAAGATCCAACTTAATTGCAATGTTCCCACCCCAGACCTTCTTGTCTATGTGGTGGAGAATTTCGTTGGCTAGTAAGATGTGTTGATGGATGTCCTCCCCCTCCATGAATCCAATTTGCTCTTTTGATATGATTTTAGGGAGAACGGTCTTTAGCCTTGTTGCCAAAATTTTTGAGCACACCTTATTCAGAAAGTTTGCAAGGCTGATAGGTCTATACTGTCTGAAATTTTTTGGGTTTAGGACTTTAGGAATTAAAACAATCAAAGAACAAGAAAGTGCTCTAGGCATTGGTATTCCTAAAAAGTATTCTTGAACTGCTGAAATCAAATCAGATTTGATAATGTCCCAACAAGAGCGGTAGAAATGTCCGTTGAAACCATCAGGTCCTGGGCTACTATCTTGATTTAGGGCCCAGACTGTTTCTTTGATCTCTTGACCGCTAGGAAGTCTAGTGAGGAAAGTGTTTTCCTCTTCCGTAATAGCGGGCTGTAACTGGGATAGAATATCCTCAATTGAATCTCCTTGGGAAGTTTCGTTTTGGTAAAGATTCTGGAAGTGGGTTGTGGCAGCTTGTGCAATAGAGACCTGGTCGGAGTGAGGGGTGCCGGAGTCGTCCTCAATGTATTGAATGACCTGGTTGCTCCGTTTCCGACTAACGTAGTTGTGGTAGAATTTAGTATTAGCCTCCCCTTCAATAAGCCATTTAATTTTCGACCTTTGCTTCCAAAAAAAGTCCTCCTGTTTGAGTTTGAGCAGGAATTCAGCTTGGGAGTGAGACCAACGGGCCCTGTTAGATGGAGATGGGTTTGAGAGGAAGATTTCCTCTGTTTCCTGGGCCAATGATTCAGCCCTTTTAACTTCCACGAATATATCACCAAAAGTGGACCGGTTCCAAATTTTGAGAGATTGCTTGGTTAGGTGCAGTTTATTGTAAAAAAAACTCATGCCCCCGCCAGATGGAAGGGAGTTCCAAGCCGAGCTCACCGTGTGAAGAAAGGAGGTGTGAAGGGTCCACATATTTTGGAAGCGGAAGGGTTTGGGGCCTGCCAGTTTGGTTGTGTTGCAGGATAAGATAATTTGAGTATGGTCAGAAGAGGCCCTGCTTAGGTGGTGTTGAATAATTGATTCAAAATGATTGAGAAATGAGTCATTGACAAAGAACCTGTCAAGTCGTCGCCAAACTCTTCCAGTGGAGCGGACCCCGGTCCATGTGAATTTGCTCCCAGTGAATTGAATGGGATTTAATTTACAGTAGTCAGTACACAGAGTAAAGTCAGTAATATCTGGGAGCTTGGGAAAAGATTTACTGAGGTGGTCGGAGATGGAGGCAATGACGTTGAAGTCTCCGCCTACCACCCAAGGCTGATCGTTGTTATCTTTCCAAGCTCTAAGAGATTGCCAAAGAGCATTTCGCTCAACTCTAAAATGCTTGCCGTACACAATTGTGTGCCAAAAACAGAATCCGGAGGTGGATTCCGTTATTCTAGCATGAATAAGTTGCTCTGATTCCGTAATGCAATCAACTGAAAAAAAATCATCTTTCCAGAATAACCAAATCTTATTGTCAGATTTAGTAAAAACATGTGAACAACCAAGTTGGATTCTGTAAAGTTCTGCTGACAAGCTAGTAACCATTGGTTCAATAACCGAAAAGAGAGAGATATTCCATTGTAGGATGATACTGTGAAGCCTTCTTCTGGAAGAAAGAAGGCCCTGAGTGTTCCAGTTAAGTAGAATCATTATAATTTTTTCCGAAGCCCCTTGGCTTCCTTAATAGTCTGAGAGCGTGTGGAAATAGGAGCAGACGATAGATTGTACACTGTTGTAGTTACCTTTTTCACAGCCGATTTCAGTAGGCGATCTGCATTCTCCTTGTTTTCTGAGACTGCCTTGAGTTTCTTACCCAAAGTTGCTGAGGCAAGGTGCCAGTTGCCCTTAGGTAGTTCTCCACGATCCCCATCAGTGTTGTTCCCATCCTCAAGAACAACAGTGGATGGAGTACCAACCTTAAAGAGAAGGTCGTCTTGAGAGTGAACGGGTTGAGTAGTTACTATAGCTTCAATGTGAGAAGGTATCAGTTCAAAGTTTAGGATGGGTAGAGGCTTTTGGATAGGGTCTGGTTGAGTATCAACAGAAGCTATTGAGGGGGAAATGGGAGAGAGAGGTTCAGAGGTAGTGGAGTTTGAAAATAAGGTTGCATGTTTGGTTATGGAGGTTGGAGGAGAAGGGGGTGTGAGGGTAAGGTGGTCGGTTGACTGTTTTCTGGGATTTTGGGGAGGTAAAAGGGGAGGTTCTTGGGATGGTAGGTGGGGCTCTTTAGAGGGTGGAATATCAGGGGAAGTGGTTGACGAGGTGGTTATAGGCGTTGGTATATTGGGGTCGGTAGTGTGGTTGGGAAGGGAGGAGCCAGGATTGTTAGGATTCTGGGCATAGTCAGGGTCCTGGAAAGGTAAAAGGGGAGGTTTTTTGGGTGGTAAGTGAGGCTCTGCAGAGGCATTGACTAAGAGGGGAAGGGAAGATCCCATGTCAGTAGAGGTAGGGGCAGCTGGAGTGGTAGACGAGGAAGGTATATCCGAAGGGATGGAGTCCAAAGTGAGGTTAGTAAGGGAGAGGCTAGGGTGTTTAGGAGACTGAGTGATAAGAGCTTTGCCTCTGTTGCAGGTGTAATGGCCTAGCAGGTGGCAGTTAGAGCAGTATGGTGGTATGTCATCATAGCAAACTTCTTGAGAAAAGCCCGAGGACCCATTTTGGATCCATATCTTATGAGTGAGTTCTGAGGTGACATCTAGTTCCACGCATACTTTCGCCATAGAAGGTCTGGCCAAGGTGGCCGTTGCCGGATCAATAAGAAGAGGGGTACCTATTAGATTGGCAATCGAGAGTAGTGCAGAACGGTCATGAAGATGAACCGGCAGTCCAGTGAAAGTTAGCCAAACCGGAGCAATGGGGGATTCAATTCCAGGTTGGAAATTGGGTGTCCATTTGGTGATACGCAACTTCAAACCGTTAACTAACCAGGTTTGATGCAGCCAGCACCTAAGGAAGTCCTCTTCCCTAGCGAAACGAATGAGGATGTGACAGTAGGCTAGGAGATGTTAGAACCGGAGGATAACAATGGTGAAATATAAGGGTGTAAATTTGGCTGGACCGGATATCACTTCTAGTCACGTATCAAATACGATTTCCTAAAAATTTACTATCTACCTTTATCACAGTAACCGGGTTACAAGATAGAACTTTTGGGATAAAAAGAAGGTGTACTGTGTATTTTGACTACTGACAAAATAACACTAAACAAGTGATATGTATATAAAGTGGTCTAAACACTTTATTACTAATACTGCAGATAAAAGTAATAGAGTAAGGCAATTAGAGAGTTTGACAAAATGAATTTACCGTGTGATTCATTCAACATGGTCCTCTCTATTTATAAACAAAATGATACAACGTACAAAGAACCGAAGTGTTCAGTAGTTGATGGCAGTTACGCCGACCAAAGCGAAACGTTGTATGATTTTCCAAAAGAACATGTACGTTCTTTACAAAACATTTTAATATAATATAAAATTTGTCCTTATCCATTCCTTATCCACACATGCATCAGCTTCATAACAATTTAAACAATACGGAGTACTTATACTACGTACGTAGCACTTAATGCAGGGCCGGTCCCGAAGAAATGTAGACCCTGTGCGAGAATAAAATTTGGGCCTTTTTTCAAGCTGCAACACAAGCAAATTGTCTTAAAATACAACTTACGAATAAATGTAATGATAAAAATAGTCATTAATAACTTACAATTTATTTAAAAAGGGACATTCTTCAGGCATATTTAGATTTACGCAGGGGGGTTTTCGGCTGGGGCGTAATACTAATTTTTTTTGGGCCCTTCAAAAATCCGGGCCCTGTGCGGTCGCACTGGGCAGCCATGCCCTGGGCCGGCCCTGACTTAATGCATGAAAATGGTATATATGATCTAACATATTAATGAAATTTTGTTATTATATTTATTATGAGATCATAGTGCACAAAATGTTCTCATAATATATATAATAATCATTATATTAAAATAACATCATTTAATAAACCACATTATTTGTTTATAAAATGATTAAGGACCATGTAAAATAACAATTGAGCTTCATTTTCAATAAATCTCCAACAATCCTCCTCCATTTATTGAAAATAAACATACTCAATCATTGCCAAATAGACCACTTATCAAGACTTGTGCATAATTGAAAGTGTCTTAAAGATTGAACTTTCATTTAGTGTAATATACTTTACAATATTTCGGATCATAATAGTAGACTAAGCTTTGAACTATACAACCACTTTGAAATATTGAAGATATTACACACACAAATCTCTATACATTTTCACTTAGAAACTTGACACCATTAACGGCCTTGTGTCCATATCCATTCATGAGCTCCAACAAGTAAAGCCTTAGACTTGGTAAATCGGCCTCCATTCTAGCTCACATAGGTAGATCTTTTCAAATTGTGTTCTGCAATTAAACACTTTATCAAAAGATCTATTAAGACATAGTCAACCTCATTACACATTGCAGTCTCAAGCACTTACCTCGGGATGGTTAATATTCAAAAGTGCTTCAACCACGGAGTGACTTACTCATCATCATTGAACTCAAGATCTAGCGTTGTACTAGACGTTGAGTTGCGCTTTCTTTCACTTGTGATTATTTTCCAAGGGCTTTAACCCCATCCCTTTTGCAGTTTTGTACACCATGTCTCTTGGCATCACTTTTGTAAAAGGATCCGCCAAATTCACATGCGGCCGTACAAAATCAATCACAACAACTCCAGAACTAATAAGTTCCCGCACATAGCTGTGTCGCACTCCTATGTGCCTTGACTTACCATTGTACACATGTTTACTAATCTGAAAATATGGCCGCTAGTCAACGCGATATCATCAACACCAATTTTCAAAAATTGGAAAAGTTTGAAGGTGTGGAGTTCCGAAGGTGACAGAAAAAGATGCATTTTCTGCTCACTACTTTGAAGGTCATCTATGTGTTAAGCACCCCGAGGCCGCCCGAGGATGATGAAAACGAGACTTTGGAAACAAGCCGCCGCCGCATAAAGTGGGACAACGACGACTACATTTGTCGTGGGCACATTTTGAATGGTATGTGTGATTCTCTATTTGATGTGTATCAAAATGTTGAATATGCTAAAACGTTGTGGGAGTCCCTAGAATCTAAGTACATGAACGAGGATGCTTCGAGTAAGAAATTTCTCATTAGTAACTTTAATAGTTACAAAATGGTTGATGTGATTGATTTTGTACGGTCGCATGTGAATTTGGCGGATCCTTTTACAAAAGCGATGCCAAGAGACATGGTGTACAAAACTGCAAAAGGGATGGGGTTAAAGCCCTTGGAAAATAATCACAAGTGAAAGAAAGCGCAACTCAACGTCTAGTACAACGCTAGATCTTGAGTTCAATGATGATGAGTAAGTCACTCCGTGGTTGAAGCACTTTTGAATATTAACCATCCCGAGGTAAGTGCTTGAGACTGCAATGTGTAATGAGGTTGACTATGTCTTAATAGATCTTTTGATAAAGTGTTTAATTGCAGAACACAATTTGAAAAGATCTACCTATGTGAGCTAGAATGGAGGCCGATTTACCAAGTCTAAGGCTTTACTTGTTGGAGCTCATGAATGGATATGGACACAAGGCCGTTAATGGTGTCAAGTTTCTAAGTGAAAATGTATAGAGATTTGTGTGTGTAATATCTTCAATATTTCAAAGTGGTTGTATAGTTCAAAGCTTAGTCTACTATTATGATCCGAAATATTGTAAAGTATATTACACTAAATGAAAGTTCAATCTTTAAGACACTTTCAATTATGCACAAGTCTTGATAAGTGGTCTATTTGGCAATGATTGAGTATATTTATTTTCAATAAATGGAGGAGGATTGTTGGAGATTTATTGAAAATGAAGCTCAATTGTTATTTTACATGGTCCTTAATCATTTTATAAACAAATAATGTGGTTTATTATTTGTTTATAAAATGATTAAGGATCATGTAAAATAACAATTGAGCTTCATTTTCAATAAATCTCCAACAAGAGACCCACAGAGAAACTACCCTTGAACCCAAATTTATCAAAAGCATTACGTATTGCCACCTATGTAGCATCGATACCGGTACGCGGAAACGCGGAAACGCGGAAACGGGTACGAGGATACGTCAAAACCAAAAAAAGTAGGATACGGATACGGGGCCATATTTATAAATATTAAAAGTTATGGGGGTGTATTTACAAATATTAAAAGTTATACGGGTCTATTTATAAATATTAAAAATAGTTTTTTTTTAATATATATATATATATATATATATATATGTATATATACATATAATATCCTATGATGTCTACCCATTCATTGCATTGAAGCATTTTCCTTTTTCAAGATACTTAGTAATAAATTCATAATATTTCTCATATACACTAGTGCATCTCGAAATATAAATGTAGTCAATAAGTCATTAATTTAAAATGAGAAATAAGTCAAACAACTACAATCTTGAAATTAAAAGTGCAAGTACCCAATTCGGAGTATGAGTTAATGACTTAATTCGGATATAGCCATATATGCCCATTATTTGATTAAGTAAAATGTAGTTTTAGATTTTCATTTTTTTTAAAAGAATTTTATTAAGTAAATTTTGGGATTTTTTTTTTTAAAAGTTGATACGGGTATCCGTCAGGATACGAGTATCGGAAACTTTCAAAAAATTACAAAAAAAATGGAAACTTTTAAAAAATTGCAGATACGGCCCTGAAACGTACGGTACGGATATCCTAGAGTATCAGATACGGGAACGTATCGGATACGCCGATACGCTACCCTAGGGAAGTATCCGTTCTTCATAGATTGCCACCATCTTAGGTATTCCATGGAGGAACGAGCCTATCAAAGGAAAAGAAAGTTTGCCGGATAGGGTAGAGACATCTTCTTGAGTGAAGGTGACCGACGGCAATCCATTCAATCTGTCCGGTTGCTTGAAAGGGATTTGGGGATTGTTCTGGGTTTCTGCATTCAGCGAAGAAGTCGTAGGGGTTTTGTTCTTACAGAGGTCTTGAAATGATAGGTTAGCTACGCCTGGTGCAGGTCCTGCGACTGCATCTGCAAAAGACCTGGGAAAGATACCTTTTGTCCTCAGCTGAATGTTGGCCGGAGTAGTGACGAGTTTCTGGTTGCCGGTCCTCAATGAATTCGGTTTGGCATGGTTCTTCTCACGGTTGAGAGTACTGTCGATTGCTGGAGCTGCGGTTGTTGTTGAGAGCGCAGGTGGCTTATCTGCAGCGGCAAGTGAAACTGTTTGGTTGAGGGCGGTTTTGCTGGAGGGTTGCTGGACGGTGGTGAGTTCTGCGGCAGGGGGTGCTGGTGGTAAGGAGGTCGGTGCTGGTGTAGCTCTGGTTGGGGGGTTAGAGAGAAGGGAGACTCTCTCTCTAGACATATCTTCCCTTCTCAAGTATATAGTTACTAATACTTACTTAGCTAAGTAATATTTTTGTCCATAGCATTTTAAAGAGTAATATTAATAAAAAATTTCCAATAAAGAAACAACTAAACATATTTACTTTTTTGTTGGGCTAAACTTACTTACTTGTGAAAATATATATATAAACATATATTTTTTTTAAAACAAGAAGAGAAATTTTATTGATAGTGAAACAATTTACAAGATGATTAGAAGGGTGGGCAGGAAAAGAGAGAGAGGAGAGAATAAAGCTAAAAAGTAAGAGAAAACATGGAGTAATATACAAATGTTGTCGCTGGCCCAAAAGTTGGAAAGAAACATGGCCCAGGCGTGGGCCAAAGGAATAAGTGTAGCCGGTCCAAATCTGTGTCCGAACATAATAAGCCAACTCGCTCCCAATCAACCCTATTCTCTTCCGTTTCCTGCTAAAGAGGGAGGATGTGGTTATCCTGTGTCGCGAAACAGTGGCGTTGCAATAACGATAGTGGCCGTCGTTTCGGCTGATTGGTACTGGGGAGATGTTTAAACATATATATTTATATGTATGATATGAATTTCCATCCTAATAAAGGTAAGCTACTTTGTGTGTGTGTGTTGGCTGAAGGTAGATGACCATTTTAGCTATTTTTCATTAATATTTTTTTGATTTTATTTAAAAAATGTATTTTAAATATAATTTTTTCATAAATTAGCAGAACAGCTAATACAGTCACTTCAGCCAGAACTTTATAAAATAATTGATATAAAATATAGTCTATGTGTACGGATGGCTATTTATTGTTGTGGTTCCAATTGCTTAATGTAATAACTATCCAAATCAATACGGAGTAAGTAATAGACTAACAGACCATGAAAAACTTACCAAGTAAGGTGGATTCTATTCTATAATCTTTTCTTTGCATATCAATATGCAATAAAAACTAGAATGTAATAAAAGAATAAAAGGTATAAAAAGTAATTAAGTAATTGTTATATAGGATGACATGGCAGGATTATGTGGTACGCCGTATGCAGGGGCGGATATAGGATTTCGGAGGCCCTAGACAGAAAAGTACTTACCACACAAAAATCACATTCAAAAGAGATAAATTGAATAGAAAAAATTGCATATGAAAAATCATATCAAAGCGCACGATATAATATTTTTAATATTCAAAAGGATAAGTTTTTAAATACAATAATGCAAACATATGCAAAATATATCGCAAACTTGTACTTTTGATACCCTATTGACCTATCCTTCTTGCCTTTTGAAGTGCAAAATCAGTAATAACATCACTGCAATCAAGACTGACTAACACTTTTTTCTCAATAGATAATATAGCAAAGCCACTTAATCTATCTTCCGACATGGTTAAAACTTAAAAAAGAATTGACCTTTACTGCTTTATCACTGTGTCTTTATTGCCTTTATTGATTCAATCATTCAATCAATACACTTTGTATACATCTTTATTCAATTACTAAAAAACTAGTGCAGTAGTGCCGTATGTATATAAGTATATTAATTGAATATTCAGTCAATTATTCCTAGCCACAGACCCACAATGTCGGTTAACCTTTACTCCTTACTCCTTAGAATTTAGCCCCTTTACTGGCTTAAGGAGTGTTTGGTTTTGCTTAAGAAAAGCACTTTTCAGCTTTTGACTTAAAAAAAGTTGAAAAGAGTGTTTTCAAATGACATCTTCTGCTTAAATTAATTACTTAAAAGCTAAAAGCTGGAAGCAGGTAGAAGGGTGCTTTAAACTGCTTCTCACTTTTTCTATTACACAAAAAGTACTTATTTTACCAAACACTACCAACTTTTACTTTTCCAAAATCACTTTTTTCTCAAACACTACCAACTTTTACTATTAATCACTTTTCCCAAAATCACTTTAAAAAAATCACTTTTTTAAAGTTGAAGCAATTGCAAACACTCCCTTAGTGCCTTATAAGGAATACCAGCTTCTCACTTTGCCCAATTTAGCAATTACTCATTTAGGAGTGAAATTAGAGTACATAGATATAGAGAAATCACAGATTTACACAGAAACACTCACGGAGGTGGGATTGTTGGAGTCACAATAGGCTGTAGGCAGTCAACCGCAGAATAGAGATGGAGATAGAGTGACAGTAGGCTGTGGCGGTGGCCGGTGGGCACTCAGCGATTCAGCGGCGGGGTCTTCGACTCTTCGGCAATCGGCAGTTCAGCGGTTGCTACTTGCTCAATTAATCGGCAATCGTTTCCACACTTGGAGAGTTAAACGCGCTTGGTTTGTAGTTCCCGTAAGCCATGTCTCCCGACTCCCGCAGGTTTTGAAGTTTATTACTACGTACGTATTATTATAATTATTTTACCTAATAGTAATACTAATTTTTTTTTGGAGGCCCCCTTGGCTTGTGAGGCCCAAGGCACTTGCCTGGCCCAACTGCCCATATATCCGCCCCTGGCCATATGCTCTTAAAAAGTTCCTCTTTTATATATATTGATTGCTCCAAAAACATTAATAATAAATGAGTAATGTAAAAGTGGTTTTAATTTTTTCTAACACTATCAATAAAAATATAGAAAAAATAATTCTTAACTTTGATATTTGTCAATATACGATTTTGACTATTAACATTGACAATTAGTAAATACAAAGTTTAAAAAGTCATATTCTAAGAGCCCATTTGGTAGCACAAAAATCGTTTGATTTGGCTGATTCTGCTGAAATTTATGAAGTTCTGGCTGAAGTAGTTGCATTGGTTGATTCTGCTGATTTAAGAGGAAAAGAAAATTAAAATAAATTTTATTAATAAAATAAAGAAAAATTTATATGTAAAAATAGCAAAAATGATCATCTACAGTAACTTCAGCCAATACAGCCAGAAAAGTAACTCAACCTTGCTTTTTCTTCTTATTACACAACTCAGCACGCGAAAGCATCAAAAGTTACATGTTTGGTGAAAAAGTTGGCTGATAAGTCAGATAAGCTGAAAAACAGTGTTGTCAAATGGACGTTTGGTAGCCATCATTTTTGGCTTTTCAAGCTTATATGCCAACTTTTTCACCAAACACGTAACTTTTGATTTTATGGGCTGAATTGTGTAATAATAAGAAAAAGTAAGGCCAGAGTTACTTTTCTGGCTATATTGGCTAAAGTTACTGTAGAGGGACATTTTAACTATTTTGATATAATTGTTTCTTTATTTTATTAATAAAATGTATTTTAAATCATTATTTTTCACAAATCAGCAAAATCAGCCAATATAGCCTTATCAGCCCGAACTTCATAAATTTCAACAGAATCAGCCAATACATCTGATTTAGCTATTATGTTACTCTGTACTAATGAAAGTAGTGGGATGACAAATAACAAATTAAAAGTCTTGCAATTATATAGACCGGGTCACCGGCGAAAATATTATTTATTTCACAATAATGAATTTTTAAAATGTTAATAATATCCTCGCGAATGTAAAATTATTTTAAATAGCGTACTTAACACCTTAAATTTAAATTTACGAAAACAATATGGTGATGTTGTTAAGATAACATTTTATATAAAATTTGGGGTATATATATAAAAGTTTGGGGTGTTTCACTCATACCACTTCAAAGTTTGAGGCATTTAAATTATTTTGTCCTAAAATACAGAGTACTATTTATAGTTGAAATAATTAAAACTGTTAATTAGTAATGATTATTATTTCTAATTAAGTTGTATAATCAAAAAGGTTGTTCGAACAACTAAACCATAATAGTTAGCTCATAGTTGAAATAACACATGATTCGTAGATTACTCCACTTATCATTATGAACATAAAGTTCATAGATTACTAAGGATGCCACTTATTTGATGTATTTTGTGATTTCTGTTGCTTCCATAACATTTAAAAAGAAGAAAAGTACTCAAACAAAAAGAAAAAAGAAAACAAAAGATGAAAAATACTAAAAAGAGAAAATGTACCAAAAGAAAAAGAAGGTGCAAAAAAGAGTTGACATAACTTTTTGTTCACTAGCAGCCTGTTAGTGAACTAAATTGGCCTATCACAAAGCACAAGACTAGCAGACTGCCAACACTCAAAACCTAACCCAGCTAGTCAAAACAAAGTTAACCAACACAATTTTCTCTACAATTTCTCTCTTGAAGCACGGTCAAAATCACAAGTTTATTTTTGATGGGACCCACAGTAATTTTGAAAGAGGAAAAAGTAAAAAAGCCTAAAAATCCACGAGCAAAAATGTGGCCTTTACATATACTTTTAGAGCTTAATCTCAGTTGGGAGGTTAGAACCATTTTGTAATTAACAAACTATAAATCTTTGGAAGGTATCCAAAGTGTGGGTAGAATAGGACTGAGTACCTTTTGAATCAGTCGGGTTCAAGAGTGAAAAACCTAAGGATATAGTAGCTTGGAGTGGTGTTTTAACTCCTTGTGAAAACCTGACGATCTAAGCCTGTGATCAAGGTTAGACCGGGCACTAAGTGTGTTAGCCTGAATAACTTAGTGGAAATCCATCTGAAAGAGGGTACTGGATATAGGAGGCTTACACCACCTCTGAACCAGGATAAGTCACTGTGTCATCTACTTTCAAAGCTCACCCAAACACACACCCAATGTCTCTTGTTCTACTACATTTATTTTTCAACAAACAGCTTTCTCAAAAGACATCTAAACTGCATTAATACAAACTCAGTTAGTATACCCAATTAAGGTGAATATAAGTCAGTTCATTCCAAAACAAACCATCTCATAAAAGTGTCTCTTACACCCCTCTTGAACTCCATTAACATCTGCTCGAAGTTTGGTTTTTCATTTAAACAAAGAATTCATATTTGTTACACAACAGCTGCCTCAATAGCTTTCTAGTAGCAACCTGCTGGTGAACAAATCATTCAATGTGGTTTGTGAAGACAATTATTTCCTCTAGCTCTCCACAAACATTAAAAGAACTCTTTCCATATCCATCTTCACATGCATAAAGATCCTTGAAACAACTCTTTGCCAAAAATAGAAAGCCATTCTTTC